TCATGGCAATATTTCAATTAATGGTTTTGGATTTTGTGAGATTTATTAGGTTGACATAAGATTTGTCCACCTCAAAGTAATGCTGGCGACATTGATATATTGCTTGTGTTCCAACATCTTAGGGTAGTTGGATTGTAGCACACTAAAAGTACAACTAAAATATCTATAATCTTCATAATGGTACAGCGCGAATTTTACATGGACAGAGGAAGGAACTGGACAGGACGAGCACTGGCTAACAACTGAAAGGGTCATTATAAGGAAACCACAAAGAAAACATACAACAACACGACTCTCTTAATCACGATGGAAATGCGCATGAACCTCACGAAATTGGGTGCTATCTGTTACACAATTCTATATGCGTCATCCCCGATCTAAAAATTTGACCTCACTGTCCAGAAAATTCAAGGAAGCCAGACTCACGCAGGCTGGCCCCTCCTTTATTCTATGAGCTTCGACTATCTCTCGAGCTTTTTGGTCCCTGTGTTTAGACAAAACAATGGCCTTGTCAAGTAACAGTGTACAGGCGCAGTCCCTGCAGTGCAACGCCAAGTGGGAGCTTGCTGTTCCTGTCAAAGAACTACGGTGTTCCCGCAGGCGAATGTTGAGGCACCACCCCGTCTGTCCGATGTATACCTTCCCGCGCGTGAAGGGTATCTGGTATACTACACCCAAGGTGCATGGCACGAACTCAATGCGGTGTTTTATGCCACCGGCCCTCTCCCCCCCGTTTTTCTTTCTTGTTAACGCGCTTTTCTACTGCAGAGCAAATACCGCTTAACTTGTTACGTGCCGATTAAACCACATATACCCCGAATTTCGAGATGGTTCTTTTAAAGCTGTGTGACATGTGGTGCACATAAGGGATGACTGCGACCTGCTTTTTTTACTTTTTTTGTTACTTTTCCCCGCACCTCACCCTTAATGCTTTTCACTATTGCTTCCGCGGCCGAGGCGATTACCGAATCCGGGAAACCTGCGTCTTCTAGTCTCCCGACCTGGGCGGCAAGGCTATGTTTACGAATACATACCAACTCGCCCAGCTATCCTGTTAGCTAAATCTATAATCTTCTTGCTATAAATATTTTCCCTCTGTCACTTTTTTTTTTTAATGAATGTCTTTATAATTTGTAGCCTTTCAGCCCTTTTATGTAAGCCGGTGGCAAATTATTTCATTTGTAAAACCAATGCAACCAAAAAACTATAAACTTCCTAAAAAAAAAAAAAAAAGGTAACCTGTTGCTCCACCCCAAAATCTCAAGGAACTGCTTCACCCAATGGCAGACTCCATCAAATTTTATAGTTTGTTCCTCTCCTGTATTGTTTACGTAAAATTTTTAAATGTCTGGAAAAAAAAAAGGGGGGGGGGGGGGGCGGCACAGAGAGAGAGCCCTTCTGTTTCCCTTTCCTTCCTTGATTCTGACACTACAGCCATAGATCATAATTTGATAATGAACTGCTCAAAATTTACTGCACCGCAATACTGGCCCAATATATATTCTGGACCCCTTTTCAAACAGATGTTGCCCAAGTGTTGTAGGATGACAGAAGCTAACCAAGCTTCCTTAGTAGTTTTTTTTTCTGTGCCCATTTTTAAAATAGTAATGAATTAAACAACATAATTTACAATTCCCTGCAACATGGCTGAATATTTTAACTATAATTCTGTTAGGTGCACATTTACACCGGGGGAAGAGGAGTCAGCCCCACCGACAACTGGTGTCTGCTGTAGATGAGAAATTTAGCCAGCGCAGTATCAGTTGGGGTCTTTAGCGTGCATCAAGCAGTAGTGATTACACAAACATACGCCACTACAAAGCTCGCCAGATCGAATCAGGCAGGTATGGGGGCTGAACCCAGGATCCCTCGATTCTGCAGCATGAGCTTTTGATCCATGCACTCCGAGCTGTAATGTAGTGCGTTTCCACCCTCGGCCAACAATATCCTCATTTCAAATCTGGTATTGTCATTGCTACTGCAAATTTGCTGTTCAGCAATCAGAACTGTAATGATTTCACCAACTTGTTACAGAATGTTTGCTTTGATCAATTTGGTTCATTTTGATGTATCACAAGGGTTTTGTCCCATTGTAAAGACAGACACACCCTTTGCAGAGGTTTAAAAAAAAACCTCATGTTAACAGCATTTTCTGAACTTGAACATGGCATGGCAAGAAGACAATTTTGTGAAAAAAGCAGAACTGTAGAAAATGTCTACACCAGAAAGCAGATTTTGTTCCGCCAATAGACAAAAATAGACATGTTTTTTGTACAAATGAAATGAGGCCAAAATGTTACACTTATTTCTTAGGAATGACCTTCACAACTTATGGTAAGGAAAGAACTAAAGCACAGAGACGCTGGTGAATTCAACTCCACCAAGAAAAAAAAGCTGCTGGAGAATCTCAGGACGGCAAGTGACGCTTCAGAGAGAGACTTTGTATCTTTGGGGTTGGTACAGTCTGTGGGGAAAAACAACAACCAGGATCACTTTGTAGAATCTAATTTAATTTATTAAAACTTCTGGAGATAAGGCAGTATTATGAAATTCAACAGTATACACTCTCATTCAGAAACTCCTCCTCTTCCTCCTCTACCTCTCCTCCCCTCCTCCTCCCCCCCCGTCGATAATAAATGATTTTTATGTGTTCTGGATACCCTTCGATTTGTCACAGTTACAGCCTACCTTTCTCCTGAATGGATGTCGAAGGCAAACTTGAATGACACTGGTGCCTGCCACATAGTTTGTCGTTCATACAGGGTGTCCCATAAGAAAACATTTGGAAGGTGGTGTTTTTCACCGCAAAAATTAACTATGCATCGCCGGATGCTCATTCTACGTCCAAAAGTACCTAGTGCTAGCGGTCCAAACCAGGTGCCGAAGTTTCAGTACTAACCGTTATTTTATTGAAAAGTGATTATTTTAAATTTACAATGGGAAAATCGTTGCTAATCGCGTTTAATATTTTTAACCAGTTAATCGGTCAAATTTTGACGCACAAAAAGAAAGTAAATATTCAACACTTTCACCACGCAGATGTGAACGAGTACTCCTGTATGACGGCAAACTTTAGATGAAATTTTGACCTAAAGTAAACTGCAGGGGCAAGGTTTGTAACTCGAAACAAGCTTATACACGTCCCGACCACTTCAACGCTATGCAAGTGTCCGTTTAGCGCAGCAGAGACTATAGTGATCGAGAAAGTTTGCTATTGCCGGAGAATATCAAGGAACCTCTTCGCCTCTGTGGCTGAAGCACTAATTTGTAAGTGTGGGTGTCTTTGTACTGCTCTCAATTACACATCAAGGTTGATTTAAAACTCGAAATTGTATGTTGCGCCGTTTATGAGATATTCAGCAGGGGCACTAATTTCAGTTTTTGCTTCTTTGAACTATTATACGTGAAAATGAATGAAACTGATTAATCAATTACTTAATCGATTAAAGGGTGTCGATTAATCAAGTTAAAATTTTTAATCGACGCCCAGCCCTACTTATACCTCCTGAGTAAGATAACGGTTAGTGTTGAAACTCTGGCATCTGGTTCGAACTGTTAGAGCTACATTTGAGTAAAAAATGAAAGTTCGGCAATGCATATTTCCTTAAACCTTTTTTTTTTTTTTTTTCTGGGGGGGAGGGGGGGGGGGGGGGGGCGGGGGGACACTGTACATGCAGGCAACAAGCAATGGCTATGCAAATGGTTAGATCCGCGCAAGAATAGACATACGGAAATTACAAGCCAAAAATCAGATGCCGCATACGAAGCCACGTTTCATGTGGTTCTGTACCTCACACCTGCAGGGGTCTATTCAAAAAGCCCGCAGTACGTACTCAATTAATTAATAAATAAAACAAAGCAGACGGCACAGAAGTGAACAAAGTATAGTCAACTTCCCCAGCGTATTGGAGCTCAGCATGCGCCGGCATCTGTCAAAGGGAGCGCGCGGAAGGCGCCGGCTTTGGTTGTGCTACAAGTAACAATGCGATCTCAACTGTTTGGGAACGCTTCTGGCGGCAGGCAGCCGACACAACCGACTAACAAAACGCATATATGATGTTCGGAGGCAACACCTGCGAACGCGCGCTCAAGACAATTGCCGGCAGTAGTGCAAGGCCACGGCGATGCGTGTCAACACCACCACTTCGTTCCCCGAAAACTGGCGAACGCGGACGTCTTCGTTTTTCTACTTTACACGCTTCAAGTTGGAACTCCATATGACTAAGAACGTAGAACAAAGAAAGAAAAGAAAGAAAGAAAAGTGGACGTTGCCTTAAAACATACCGAGTCTCAGAAGCGAGTTTCAAGTTGCACAGCTACCGAAATCGGAGACAAGAGCCGGACAATTCTCACCCGAAAGATACCGACAGTACACGAGACGCAATGTGCCTTACAGAAAGAAAAAAAAAAGTATATCCGAATGGTTAACGGTCCTGAGAGCAGACACCTCGAAGCGGAGATCGCGAAAGGCACGACTGCGTCGGAGGGTCGTGGGAGTCAAAATGTTTACATTCGGACCATCTTGCCATGTGGTGACCTTGAGCGCTGCAACAATAACTGCAATGATCCCGAGCCCGTCTTAGCGACTGGGCACCGCTTCCCACCGTCTACAGCCCTAAAAATGGTATGTTTTTGCTTGGGTGCTCGCGAAAAGCGACGACCGAATCCTAGCCATATTTTGGTCCGGTCGGTGCTTCGCGTCTTCCGCACGTGAAAAGGGATACTTTTATGACTCATCCGGCAAAATATTCGACCGCTTTCCGTCGGAACCGTCATCTTGATTCACTGTCGGAGAAGCCCGGGTCCCACGATCATTTCTGAGAGCTCTAAAACGTCCCAAAAATCCGGTTCAAAGTGATCAACGGTCAGTCAAACAGATCGCGAACGTAGACACACGTTACGGTACGGTAGGCCTAAGGAAGTGGAGGGGAAAATAGGTCACCCGATTCGGCAGGAAACTTGGACCCGGAAAGTAAGAGTGAAATGCAGAATGCGCTTACTGTTCTTTCACGGCGTCTGTCGTGGTCATGAACATGTCATCGCCTCGGGGCACAGGCTTATTTTTTTTAGCCTCCAGCGGGAAATGCTCCAGTATCACTTTTCAGCGAGCGGATCCACATGCTTCGTTCATGTCGCGGTTTGACGTCACAGGAAGTTGTTCAAAAGACGTCACCGACTTTGATGACGTCACGCGATTGCGTGAAAACCGATCCAGACGGGTGATCGCCGATCATTAGTGCGTCTTTGTTAGAAGCGTACAATTTGCGAGTACATTTATTCTAGTCCTTAAAGAAATCTGAAAACGGGATACGATGCACAAAGAAAGATGGCAGACGATTCGGTCGGTTCTGGTTTCGGTATACCACCTTATGCCGTTCGGTTCCTGGCTACTCACCAAACCGCATTTTTCTTTTGTTTTGTTTCACCAATAACTTAAACTTGTTCTTTTCCGTCGGCGCTCGCGGCCAATGGAAATCATTAAATGCCACGTGAACAGTCCTTTACGGGCTTGTTTGATCTTTTATTTCTATTTTTAAACCCGCCAGCGTAAAGGTTTGTCGTCCTGAGCAGCAACAGTACGCAAGACGTCGAGCTCACAAGTTTCAAAATAAGACAAAATTCAGCCGCATTACGCAAGTTATTTGCACATAAAAGGCACAACTACAAGGTTCCACCGTCGCCACCAAAAGTGCACCACCATCTTTATTTTTTTTTTTGTGCAAACATGAATTTTTTTTATTTGCACCATTCAGCAAAAGCATAGAAACTCGTGACACATGTAACCTGACTATATCAATCAAATCCCACAACACTATTCAGTGGAAGATGCTGAAGTTATTACAACTGTTTAATAAACTCTTGGATGACGTAAGAACAGATCAAAAAGGTAAATGAGGTTAAGTTACCGCCATATGCTACCGAGGGCAGAACCACTGCACGAAAGCAGCCGGCAACACTCTAAAAATGCACATCTTTTTTCCCTTTTCAATCCTGACAGTGCATCCTATATTAAATATAGCAAAAAAAGAAAAGAAAAAAAAAAAGAAAAAGGAAAAACAAGAAATGTCTGTACAAACGCTAGGCAACAGTGCTTCATATTTGAAAGTTCTATGACTACAGTCAAAAATCCTTTGCCAAACGGGGGACAAAATGGTGGCTTCCACGAGCCTCCTCCGGACGCACTGCTGCTGCTTCTGTTGCTGCATTGGTCAGTCAAGCTTGTCCTCTCCTGTTTTGGACAAGACCACAGTGAAAAGAAGTTGGTCAGGAACACATCCTTTGCAGAATGAGCAAAATACTGTAGTCATTGACAAAGTGAGGGTGGCAGGGAGGAACTTCAGTTGTCATCATCCCCATCACTAACCCTCACCCTCACCCTCACCTCACCCTCACCCCCCCCCCCCCCCCCCCCCCCCCCCTTCCCCAGCGTGAGCTTCCATACTTTGACAGGGCTCCGGCGTCTTGCCGGAGCGCTGTCAAAAATGCCGAAAATATGGGCCAGGTGCTGATTTCGCCCACTGACCTAATGATGGCAGTATATTCTGTTTGAGAGCAACTTTGCAAAGAGCGAACACTATGCTTTGAATGCTATGCTCCCCTTGAGCTGACCAGAGTGAGAGCGATGGAGAAAAAACGTGCGACAGGCCTTTTGGAGCCCAAACACATTCCGACGACAAATGGTCATGTGCCTTGCACCGAAGCTTCGATTGGCTCGCGGAGGCCATGGATGTCGCCGTTTAAGAGTTATCGTGAAACGAAGTATAGGATGGAAACTGTAAATGTCTAGCTTCCTTTAATATAGCTTCTAATATAGAGCTATTTATGAAGTCAATGCAGGACCATCTACAAGAAGTGATGCGTAAATAGCTACCCCTCGCTTTAAACACTTTGAACCGTGATAGACAAACAAAAAAATATTGGGGTTTTATGTCGCAAAGCGACCGAGGAGGTCACGAGTGACGACCACAAAGACTCCATGAGGAAGGGACCACCCAGGGTTCGGACCCTACATCATGCATTCCAGAGGCCAAAACTGAACCTCCATGCTATAGAGGCGGTCAACTGCAGTAGGCAAAGAATGAACTTATGATTGGCTGCCTGCTAAGAGAGAGTAGCGATGCTGGCGTTTCGAGAACTGTCCCACTAGTGGGATGTCGTAGGTCCTCGGGTGCCTGGCTCTTTGCGACTACTAATTGGTTCTAGGTAGTTTCATAGCAGACAATTGGCTGTGACGCAATTCTACACCAGAAATGAAATAAAACAATATTCTAGCCAAATCGGGGGTTTTACGCGCCAAACCAACGAAGGGCGTCTGGCACGCTCGAGCAGAGGACTGAGGATTAACTTCGAACACCTGGGGATCTTTTGACATGCAACTGGGTCACATGGCGCCTTCTCCACAATAAGCCTCCTTCAGATATTGAGACAAGAAAATTATGTCTTTTCCACTGCATTAAAAAACAAAAGCATTGAAAAACAGCTCAGAGTTTGCCCGTATGTGCCACCGGCAGTTGGAGTAAAAAGCCAAAGTTTCAGCATGTAATAACACTGCCTGGCGAAACCGGGCAACTATTACCTATCACTGCACTATTCCAGAAAAGTTAGAATGAATGTAATTCATGCGTTAAGAGCAAAAGCCAGTCATATTAAAAAGCAGGCGAGCTTAAAACTCTGTGTAAAGGCCCCTACACCCCGAGGCCGGTTCACAAATTTGCATTTCAGTATGCTCAAGTATGTTGCATTTCCTATCATGTGAGAACACACGGGTGTTATCTATCAGGTAGATAGATGGCACTTCCAAACTGCGAATATTTTTATAATTTTTTACAACTCTTCCACTGTGGGCTTGAAATAATTCTGACAATGTTACAAGTGACCCTCCTTCACAGACAGTGCGCAGGTTTGATCTCGTAAATAAGGCAAAAACCTTCAGTTTGGTTATACGCACTTCCCAGGCTAACTGATAAATGACACCAGCGTGCCAGTGTACTCTCTAGCGAGGCTCGAGCAACTCGAACTATATAGTGTGTTTGCCATTTAATGGCAGACGCCTCCTGCGCAGATTGGCTGTACGCGTGCACAAACGCTTTGTCGAGTAGCAGGGAGGTTAGCATGGGTGGACAGACGGACCAAGTCGGAGACACTCGCAGACGATGGACGCTCTCGCCCCCTCCTCGCAGCTTGTATTGCAAACACGTCCCACAAACAACATGACCACCGACCAGCAGTTGAAACCGCTCTGAAATCTAGCCACACCAGTGTTCTCTCGTTGTAAGTGGTTACGAGGGAATGAAATGCACTCGAGCACATTTTTTATGGAAATCCAGGCACCAGCCTCCACTTTTGCAGAATGCACTGCCAAGAAGAGAGCCCCGATTAAGCTTTTCGAAAGGAGGACCCGCACTCACGAGGGGTCTAGCCGGTCCTAAGTGTTGGGTAGAGTGTGCGACGGCGTGATGACGGGGCGCTAGACGTCCAGCATGAGGACCACGGGGTCCTCGACGGCCGCCTTGACCTTCTTGAGGAACGTCACCGCTTCCCTGCCGTCGATGAGCCGGTGGTCGTACGTCAGGCAGATGTACATCATGGGCCGGATCTCCACCTGGGAACGCCGCAACCATATTCCCTCACGCCACGGTCGCCGTGTCGGCGGGCAAAGCCAATACAGAGAGCAATTCGTCTGCTTCTTGCACGGGAGTTGCGACGACGTCGGAAAGACGCCGAGCTCCGATTGGTTTTGATTGAAAGGATAGTGGGTGGACCTCAAAGCTAGATGCCTCAAGGTCTAGCCACCATTTTTTTCTATCGGCCAACAAGAGTTTGGCGTTTTGACGTCGTCGCCACCCCTGCGTAAGAAGCAGACAAACTTGCACTCCCCACAGCACTTAGAAAACGAGGTCTGTGCCTTTCTTTCTCTAACGTCATCATCATAGTTTCCAATAAGGTGAGAATGGCAGGAGGGAGCTTCGGCTATCCCGGCTCCAGCGCAAGCGTCCTACCTATGACAACGCTTCGGTGTCTCGTGAACCTTGGGCATGTGCGCGCAGCCAATCCACGGCGGAAGGCATGCAGCATTCAGAAAACATGCCGCCCAGGTTCCATTCTTGCGCACTCTCCGTGCCTCTACGGAACGGCTCACATACATAGTTTCGCTCCTTCCACCACAGGTACCCCCGTTCCAAAAGGGCGTCTCAGCCCTCTAAAAAAAGCGCATCCCTGCGTCCTTCTTCGATGAGCGCAACGTCTCGCACAATCGCTCAGCCAAAGCATGCATCTCCTACGTCGATATTGCTGAAAGACAAGAACCAATTGCTAACGTTGTTTGGCACACTGGCCAAAAGCAAATCCCTTCAACATGCCTTCCCACGACGCAGCAGCTAATGCCATCAATTGCAGCACACTTTAAGTGGTTGTTTGCAATTTTTTTTATTTTTTTTTAACGTCGTCACTCATGAACTTTTGCGGCGCAACCTGAGTTGTGTCTACATTGCCACACGAGCGTCTTCCAGATTCTGGTAACGGGCGCAATACTGTCATACGGCGATGCCAAGATGCTTGAGTCTGCCATTTTGTTGTTATACTTACGCGGAGCTTCTGTGCGTCCGCCACTTTGGGTGGATTGGGGATCTACCAAGGACGACGTAATGCGCAGGCCCTTGTCTTCTAGGAGGTATTGGTAAAAATGCCTATTATGATGGGGGGGGGGGGTGTTGCAGGAGTTTGAAGAATGCTGAATTCAGGGGGATGATACAAGCATCGAACACGAAAAAGAACTGCGTTAAACTCTTTCGCACATTCTTGTTCGTAGACGCATTCAAGTTGGTTAATCTTCCCATCGTGCCGAGTTTGGTCAACTCTCCCAATGCTACTCCTGTTCAAGTGGGTGCTGTTTCTATTGTGTCAAACAAAGAGTCAAGTCCAAAGGTCTAATGCCCAAGTCCCACTAGAGCGACAAACGGAAACAAACGACAGCGACGAGCCTCAAACCAGACTCTTTCCCGATTTGACAAGCTTTGTAGAATAAAAGAGGCTACGCCCAAACCTGAGCATCATGCACGTAAGGGCATCTTCGGCAGGCTTACAATCACTCGTGCTTACTTCGCGAGCACCGAACGACTAAATGCCTGCTAAAGGTACCGTCGCGAGCGTGCTGCATGTGTTTGAGGCTTGCCGCTGTCGTTTGTTTGTTTGTTCATTTAGGGGAAATTGAGCATAACAACAGCCGCTTAAGACAGCGTGCAACGAAACAATGCATATGCCCAGATATGCTATGCATCCAAAGTTTTCTTTTAAAATGCTGCCAGGGAGGTAGCGTGTTGCTTATATTCCAATTTACAGCAATGCTGGAGGCGATATTATGGACCCCGAAATGCATTTCCAACCCGTGTGTCTGCCACATCATTATTTTCTGCCACTGGAATCTGGCCGGTAATGTCGTAACTTGGTCACGCTGCGGATCACCGGAATCCCGGCCGTGGCATAGCAGTGAAGCTGGTCAAAGCAGACACCGAGTTTGCTGTAGCTTGGCCCGCATCAAACCGATCAATGGAAACTCCTGTGGCCTCAAGTTGGGATGCCATGACAACGGCGGCACCTGCGTCCATTTGTCTTCTTCACCGTCCCTTTAGAACTACTAGCGTTCTGGCTTTTAGGTAAATACCAATAAACCCAAAATTGGATCGCTCCTTAAATAATAAAAAAAACAAAAAAAAAAAAACTTCATGGAAAGAAAATGTTTGTCTACAGCTTTCTTTGGTACTGCCTCAGATACAGCCCACTCTAAACTTTTCGAAAGGCTGCTTCTTTTTTCAAAACCCTACACTTTATCCCTATTCCTTCTCTCGTTGGCATCAAGACATCTTCCTAGTAGCTTCAAGTCACGCACGTGTTCCTAGGAAGTTAAGAAATCTCAGGTTTGTGCCCTACTTCATTAAACCTAAGCCCAGATAAACAAAGTTTTGTTTCACACCTAAAGTCAACACCCAAAAAAACTTAATCTGTGAGAAAAAACAAAAACAAAACAACAACAACAAAGTAAATTGCAAAAAAAAACACCAAAGGCTGTTTTTTCGTAGATTTGATATTTTCTAGTGCCTATTTTCGGTTTCGGCCGAATAACCAACATTTAATGGGGCTCATGTAAAAAAATAAGCAGGACAAGGCCCTGTGATTTTCCAACCTGTAAGGAACACGCACGTGACTTGATTGCTTAGAAATAGTCCCCACACCAACAAGAGAAGGAAACGAGATAAGGCGTGTGGTTCCCATACAAAGCAGTAGCCTTGCAGACGGTGCAGTGCGGGCTGCGTCCCAAGCCAACACAAAACAAAGTCGCAGATAATGATTTCTTTGCATCAAGCTCGAGTTGTCCTTATTCGAGGACATCTCCAACTCTGAACTCTTCAGTGCGATTATGTGTGCCACGAATTCAGAAATGTTTTCTTCAAGTTTATTCGCCCCTGCGATAATGCCTGATGGCGCTGCAGGACAATGATGAATAAAAGAATAAAAAAAATGACCGCATCTCCACGTGGTGAATGATGTTGATTGGGGCGAAGCTCTGGTGGTGCTTGTCTGTGTAGACGCTGAGCCGCAGCATGCCGAGCCTTTCGTTCGTTTTCATCCATGTCAGAAAGACAATGTGCGGTATGGGACATAGCTATATACGCATATGAGCATTTGACCGCAGCGCCCTCTCGTCTATAATGTTGAGTCAATGTATGCAAGGTTTAACGCGATTATATACGCATTTGACCGCAGCGCCCTCTCCCGTATAGACAATGAGCGGCTACATGCAATGTTTCATCCATGACAGAAACCCACGCTCTTGAGTTACTACCACATCTCAGAGCCCCCTACTTGTCCCGCAGTCGTGGCCGAGTGGTTAAGGCGATGGACTAGAAATCCGTTGGGGTCTCTCCGTACAGGTTCGATCCTGTCGACTGCTCAAACATATGTTGTTTTTTTTTTATCATTTTTTTTTGCCCGGACGGACAAGGCGTGTGAGCACGGACGCCGGACGGACAAGGCTAGACCCTAAGGAGCTTTGCCGCTAAAAGGTGAATAAAATAAAGGAGGAGACGAGAGCGCACATGGAAGCCAGAACGCCTAGCTCCGATTGGAATGATTAGTGGGTAGACCTTTAAGCTAGCTGTTTTTGTCTCCACTGTACTTGTCAAACACGTACAAATGCGAGAGTAAAGGCCGGGCACCTCCGTCCCACGTTTTAATGCGCTCGACGAGTGCAGCAGAGACAAAGGCTGCTAGCTTTAGGTCCACCCACTAAGTAATCGTTCCAACCAGAGCTCGGCGTTGCGATGTCCCCGCACGCTCTAGTCTTTTCCTCTCCCTCACCTTATAGGCACATACGAGCTGCTTCGACAGGTTTGCCAGTCGTTGAAACGACGCAGGAAAAGCTGCATTTGAGGTACGGTGCATGCAATGCTACTCCGAATGGTGTGTTTGGCATCACATTTCGCCCGTGCATCGAAAGTGGCCCTAAAATGGCAACAAACAACGTCACGAAAGCTGCAGTGTTGATTCTGGCACTTAGGCATAAAAGTTCCGGAGAAAAGCACGAGAGAATGTGAGTATCGCCGTCATAGCGGCGTTCCAACTCCGGGCTGCCAAAGCTTTTGTGGAACGTCGCACTGGAGAGCAACCTGCAGCAGGACGTTGTGTTGCAGACACCATAGTTTGAAGTGACACCGTGTCTTCCGTGGAGAGGAAGACTTTTGTATCAAAGTGTCTTTTTCCCAATTTCCTCTCAGTACTTCGAGAGCAGTCCTGCCCTCTGCCGAGACCATGGACCCACCTTCCCGGCGACGTTGACGGGACGCTCGAAGACGGCATGCATGCCGAGGATGGCAGACTGGGGCGGGTTGATGATGGGCGTGCCAAACATGGAGCCAAAGACGCCGCCGTTGCTGATGGTGAAGGTGCCGCCGTCCATGTCCTCAATGGCCAGGCTGCCCGTGCGGGCCTTCTCGCCCAGGACGTTGATCGCCTTCTCAATGTCCGCGTAGTTCATGCCCTCGCAGTTGCGGATCACCGGAACGACCAGACCCTGTTGAGAAAGGAGTGGAAAAAGGAAAACAAATGAGGTTGAACTTGTCTAGTGCACGGAATCTAAAACTTTTTGGTTCCTCGTATGCTGAACGAGCACGTGTGCTCGGCAGGGATGCTGAAAGCTCGGAAATTGCACTCATAGCTTCTGTTACGCTTGCAATCAAAGTAAAATGGAGTAGTAAGAGATTCTTCGCAGTCGCACCTTTGGCGTGGATACCGCGACACTGATGTCGATGTAGTCCCTGTAGATGATCTCCTGCTCGTCGATCACTGCAAAGAAAAAGGCACCCACCAGTTTGTTCTTTCAGTGTTTAGCCAACCAGAGGAAATAATTGGAAGAAATGTAGATAACAGTGTGCAGCTATGACCGATCAAAAGGGGAACATCAAATGGAAACTTGCTTTAGGACAGCGCTTCTCTCTCACACGATTATTTTGTTAGGACAGTAAAGGAACCCTTGTGCGATGCTTTGGTAGCCTGAGAAGCTATCGGCTGCAGCGTTTTTGTTTTCTTCCCATTTCGCTACTTCTGAGGATTATTGCCCGATTGATAATCTGCTCAATCGGGTGAGCCCAGCTAAGCAGATTATGCATCAAACGGAGATAGTCTTTTTTTTTCCATTGTTTTGATAAGAGGTGTGACCACCCACTGTGGGAAAAGTGAGTGTAGTTCAGGAGGAAAAGAAATTTAAGTTTCATAAATGCACATTTTACAAAAAATATCATATGTAAACAAATCCAATATAGTTTCATGCTTTACAAATGAGTAGTGTTTATCCTCAGCACTAGCCAGCCAAATAGAAAAATAATTTCACAGGCCCCTTAATCACACCATGTGTTTCTTCATTTGAGAGAAACTTTCAGCCTTTCCACTCTGGTGAAGAAGGAAGACCAGCGAAGCTATACTATGGTGGGAATGAAGTAATGGCCAGCCGCAAGTCGGAAAGCCAGAGTGGAAAGGCTGGAAAGGTTGCCGCGATCTATGAGCGACGGCGCAACCAGACAACCGGCAAACACAACACTTTGGACAGCTACCGCAGTCTATGAGCAACAGCGGCAACCAGAGTGTTGTGTCGACATTTCTTTGTGGACGGACACGATCCTAAGGAAACCAGTTTTCAACAGCTCTGCTGTAGTAATACATTTACGTATATAGATGAAATAATTAACTTGAAAGGGAACTGCTCTCTCTGTTTAGAGGGGGGCTGTTGGCCTTATTTTATTCCTGTGTATTTCAGTAGACCATAACATCCAATACGGTAATAACACAGAAGGCATCTTGCATAACTCTTTACAAGGTAGCCGCTGACTAAAAAATGCATCTTGCAGGCGCTAAGCGGCAGAGTGAAAGTTTGCATATGTATGTGCAATCTTCTGTTCACATATTTTTACTGCTTCTGATTTACATTTCTTGATTCATTCAGATACCTCAAGGGCCATGAGTCAGTAGTACAGCACATACAACAAAAGGCATACAGCAACAACTAAACACAGCACCAAATTACTATTGAAAATCACTGCAGTGTAATTTTGGCTACAGTTACAAGAATGTGATTCTCACTTTCAAAAATACTGGGAACCCATACGAGGGTATTGTGCGACGTGATAAAATGCAAACTTTGTGACGACAAATTGCGATATGATATATATAATATATTATATTATTACACTAATAAACTTGGAAAATATTAAGTTTGCGGACACAAGATTTCGCAGTTTAGAGTGATACGCTATGTAGTTGTTACCATGGGGCGATATTTTTAGGGGGAACCAATTTTTTAAGATATTACCGTAAAATCCCGTAAGGGCGCCTTCCCCCGAGAGATCGCCCATCCTGTTTTTCTGGCTAAATATCTGTAACATAAAAATTCCGAAACATCGCCTACCCCCAATTCCCGTTGGACGTCAAGCGATGTTCGACGGGTATCGCGTATCAATGGCGCGATCGCCGGTACCATTGTGTCCGAGAAACGAGTTCATACCGGGTTCCCGCATTTTGTCTGCGATCTGCGCGCAATATCGGCTCGCGTAACACGCTAGTTGTTCCCACGTGTATATTGCATCGTGAAATGCGAATCTGCTGCGTTCGCGATTTGCAGTATCCATTTCCAAGTTCGTAGCGGATTCCCGTGTTTTTGTCCGCAATCTGCGCGCGCGATATTGATTTTTAGCTGTAAGTAACACAGGCGAGTTGTTCCCGCGTGTATATTGCATCGTGATATGCGATTCTATTGCGTCCGCAATCTGCGGTATTTGTTTCTGTAACATGCGAGTTTGTAGCGTATTCCCATGTTTTTGTCCGCAATCTGCACGCGCGATATCGGTTTCCGTGACAGGCAATTGTAGTGGGTTCCCGCGTCTTTATTGCACCATGAAACTTGAATCTGCTGCAACTGCAATCTGCGGTATCCATTCCAGTGAGATGAGAGTTCTCGGCGGGTTTCCGCGAGTCCTTCGCACCGTGAAACGCAAATCTGCTGTGTCGGCCACTTGCGGTATCCTTTCCCGTGACACAGGAGTTTGTAGTGCATTCCCGCGTGTTTATCGCATCGTGAAACGTGAATTTGCCGAATTCGCTATCTGCGGTATCAGTTCCCGCATCACGTGGTTTGTAGCGGCCCCACGCTTATTATTTTTTATAAAGTTTTGCTGTGGCATCCCCAAAGATAGCCCACCCCATGTTTTTCACAATTTATCCCTTCATTTTGGGTGGCCGCCCTTACGGGATTTTACGGTATTGAAGTCACGTGAAAAGGAAGTCTCCACAAATATTAGGTTGTTTAGACTAATCCAACATTTAGGGCTACACGGTTATGCACAAAACCTAAGATTTCAGAATGAATACTCCAAGCATTGGCCATCGGCCACACCCAGAATTTGGCACAAATGACATTTAGAGCAATTAATTCCATGAGAGGACAATGTAGTGCAAATTTGAGCCCAAGGACAGGGAACCCACCGGCATTCACCACAGGTTGGTCCTGGAGGGCAAAGGCCACTGCCTTGACGAAGGGAGACATAAAGCCCAGCTTGACGCCGTGCTTCTTGAGGAAGGTGTCTTTGTACTTGTTCCGCATCTGAATGACGCTCCTGGGAACCCAAGAAGGAAGAGGCTGTATAGAGCCTTGCAGTGGCGTAGCGGGGGGGAAAGGGGGCTCATGTGACTAAAGCCCCCCACAAAATCCAAAATCCACACAAGATTACAGTTTCATTCTGGTTCGGGTTCAACATCAAACGCTTGATTCTGGTTACGGGTTTGTTCTGATTCGGTCAAAAATAATGGCTTTGCTCCAGTTCGGTCAAAAATATTGGTTTTGCTTCAGTTCGTTCAAAAATAATGGTATGCACCGGGTCGGTCAAAGATAATAGTTTTGCTCCAGTTCCGGTTCATTAAAAAAAGAATGGCTTCATTTTAGTTCCGGTTTGGTTAAAAATAATAGCCTTGCTTCAGTTTTCGGTTGAGGCTCAGTTTCATACACTGTTCCTTGGTGACTCCTGTGACGTGTTTGGTTGTTGTTTTGTGGAAACCCCAGTGTAGAGGCAGTACGGGGCACTAAAGACACCAGTGAAAATGTGTTCCGGGTACTGTAGTTTCAGATAAGAAGGAGCATCCGTTTCCAAGTACTATATTCCGGCAAAACAAGAAAAGCACTCACGTCATGTCCACTTCGTTGAACGTCGTAAGCATTGCATAAGTGTTCTGGGCATCCTTAAGGCGCTGGGCGATCCTCTGTCGCATTCGGTTCATCTTCACCTGCAATGCAGAAAGGTAGCATCCAATATCCTTAATTAAAGGTGTGTTGCCAATGCCAACAGATAAAAATTATAATCCACTGCTATAATTTTTTTTTCTCATCTACTTGCTAACTAGTTATAAACCCAACTTTGAACTTTGTCTAAAAATAATGACCGCTACTGAAACATTTAAAAAGGCTTACAACCCGAAACATAACGCCCGGTCAGAAAATTTGTGTATAATTACTTGAGGGAAAGGTAGAACATAATGTACAGATATGATTGCTCCAGAGAGATAAAATCAACAAAGTAGGAGAGGGGGCTTCAAATGTTGTAGGCTAGGATGTACACAATAACGGAGTGAAGAGCACACAATGAACCTGGGGTAAAAGTTCATGAGTGGAGAATCGAAAAAGGTCAAAGGCTGGTCTACAGATTTGTATCCAAGTATGACCGACCACGTTGCAACTGCTTACAAGAGAACAGACTGATGCCATCTATTGGGCAGCCCAAGAACACTTCTGATCTACATAAATTTACAGATTACTCTTCTATCATACTGTAAATAATTCTGGCGAGGGTTCCATGTTTTCGGATAAATCCGAAAAGCTTTGAAGAACACCTGACAGCAAAATTTTGGTCAATTCAGATTTATCCGATAAGCTCCGAATTCGATGTGCCAATGCCACCCCCCCTGCCTTCCCCAAAAAAAAGAAAAGAGACAAAATTTTACAATTAAGTTTGATCAGTGCACAGGGTCAATGGTCCTGGGAAAATGTCACCAGTTATCTCTAAAATCTCAAACCGTTGTCAAAAGGGGTCTCACCGCTCACCTAGTCAAGGTTCATACAGGACAACATTGTACTTTAGGATTGCAACAAAAGCCACTGTTTTAGTTTCCAGTTTGGGGGTACTATTTGTGCTTTAGGGAAGGAGAGGTTGTGTATTTGTGACAGTGAAAGCTATGGAATTATAGAGATTGCATAAGATGGAGAAGAGGGGCAGGAAACTTCTCCATTTTATCCTGTACCACTCCACCGCGCGCAGCCGCAAGGTAGGTTGATGGAATATGATGGGATGAATACGAGCTCCCCAGCTACTACCTCATTAAGGTATCGATGTTTATCGAAGTAACACTTGTGTGCACCTTTTGTCGTAAAACAAACTGCTATTTTCAATGGCAGTGGTACCAGTGCCAAATCCAGCTGAAAAACTATTAACTGATACAAGCGTGTTTTATTGTTTTACAGTAAAACCTCGTTATAACAAAATGAGATATAACAAACTAATGGATATAACAAAGCAATCATAATTCCCCTTGCTTGCTAATAGGGAAGAAATGGACATTGGCTATAACAAACTAATGGTTATAACGAAATAATTACGATCGCTCCTTCAACTTTGTTATAACGAGGTTTTACTGTATCTAGCATGTGTTTACCAACATTTTTTTATTTATTTATCTTTAAAGGAGCTGTGCAACAATTTCAGGGCTTTGCTTAAATTATTGTGGAAGTTGATGCCTGACACTTCTGCAGTGAACTACAGAAAACAGAATTTGCCTGGATACCCTAGTTTTTATTTAAAAAAATTAAAAAGATCCAGGTTTTTGCCGCCTCTCAACTCGTGCATCATCTTCCGGGTCACGTGCACAGCGACGTCACTTGAGTAGGCGCGGAGTTCCGGAAAAGTTCTCTCTTTAGAGCCGTCAGCGAGCAGCGAGAACTCATCCACTCGCGACCGCGTGACCACCTGTCCTTGCCCGTCCGGCGCTGTCTCCCTCCCCCTCCGGCTTCTGGCGGCTGTTCGCGGTTTTGTGGACCTAGGATAGATGGCGCCACTAAAACTCCGTATAATAAAAGTTTTGTCAATGATACCAGGGTTTTGACGCATTTATATATATGTTGGAACGACAAGATTTATAAAAAAGTTACCTTTTATCGAGCAGGTATTCCCACAACTTGCTATCTTTCTTACAACAACCCAAGTGACGTCACGCCGCTTGTTTCTCATGGCCGCCGCTCGTGGCAGCACTTCGAGAAATATTCCAAGTTTTGCCTCGCTATTACGCAACGAAATCGCAACATTTCGATGAAAGGAGGTGTGTTTTCTGCCATTTGTGACACAGTGAACAATGTCAAAAGCAGAAAATGCCCATTCTTTCAACGTTAAAATCGTTGCACAGCTCCTTTAATGAGAAAAACTCTAAAATTAAACTCAGAATTTCGGAGAATTGGAAATCCAACAAAAATAAACTCCGATAAACCCAGAATTTTTGGCAAGAAATAAACTAAGAAAACACAGAATCCTAGTTATAAGTGACCATTTCTCATAGATAATGCACAGATTTGATCTCGCGAATAGTCCAAAACCTTCAGTGTAGTTATATGCGGAGCAGAAGTGCTCCAGGGCTACATAAGAGATGGTACAGTGTGCTCCCTAGACGTAATCGGTTACAAGGGCACGTGATGTAGTCGAGCACACTCAGAAGTAAAAATGTGTGAACCGGCCTTTAAATGCAAATGTAAGGACCAGTCTTAAACATTCCTCGGAACTGACACGAGGACCTAAAAGATGCCTTCCAGGAATCTGGACAGGAGCTACTCCTTTCTTTGCACCACTGACCCGCTGTTCCGTCCGAGCTCCGACAGGCACGGAGTCTCCGGCGTCTGCTCCCGCAGAGGCCGTGACCGGTCCTGGCATCTGGATCTGGGAGACCGGGGTGGAAGACATGGGGCCAGAGGGCTTGGCGGGGGCTGGAGGGGGCGTCGTCGGGATGGGTCCCGAGACGGGAGACCCTGTTGCCGGCGCTGCCGGGGAGGGTGCGGCAGAGGGTGCAGCGGGTGCGGCGGGTCTGCTGGCAGCCGGGGCGCCACCTCCTGATGGCAAAATAAAACCCATTTGGGGGGGCTTTACGTGCTAAACCAACGGCGGGCATCTGGCACGCCCCAGTGGAGGGCTGAGGATTAACTTGGACCACCTTGGCCGGGATTCGAACCTGCCATCAGGGGATCTGTAGGCTAGTGATTTGCCTCGGAGCCACCGAGTTGGCCGCCTCCTCAAAGCACGGAAGCGGACAATGCAGCGATAAAATCAAGCAAACCATTTAAGGAAAAAAACGAAAAAAAACTACTATGATAATTTTAATCCGAGACTGGGCCAGAAAGAGGCAAAATTGTTTTACGGTGGCAGAAAGAGTAACAGGGACTGACAGCGATTCGCGACTCCAGCGACCTATAGGGGGCGCCACCACCGAACAAACATGGCGGCTGAGTCCAGGTCGCGTCGGCTTGGCCGGGCCGCCTGAACAGGTGGCGCATTCAATTTAACAGATTTTCTTTTGTTTAATGCCCAATTTTATAGGTATTTGAACTTAGACGGTTAAGTGTAGCTGGTGCGCATAAACTTGCAAAGCATAGTTTTGTTTTCCCCGTTTTTTTTGTTTTGTTCTTTTTATGTCAAACTTTTGTTTCGGAGATTTCGTTCAAAACCGAAACTATGGGCTCCGGAGAGACGGTAATATACTAATCAGTCTTGATCATCTAAGGAAAGCGACGATTACTACAGGATTGTTCCACCGAGAGTAATTTTCAGCTTGCTCACATGCCTCGACCATGCGACTTATATGTCCGCGAAATCAAGCTTTTGTGCGTATCCGCGTTTAAGAAACAGCTCCAGTCGTCTGCTCGGTCAACAACACAGGCTGCAGGAAAATTACAAAAATTAAACAAGTGCTTCTTGAGCCAAGGACCATGTTAACCCGCCGGCGCCCCAATAAGGAGCTTATACTCGTATTTCAATTCAGGTTTTAGTAGCAGTCGAGAAGTCACTGACGAGCGGGTTATGTATTATATTACGTAATATGGTCCCACTAAAGCGATATGAGTATATTCTTCGGATTGAAATATGAGCTTAGTTGACTAACTATTAGGGGAACTGCTAAATAAAAGTATATTTGACAGACAGAGAGATACTACTTAAACTTAGTCAATTGGTTCTACCGGCAGCACGGAGACAAACTGAAGAGAGTCTTCATCGGAGATTCACGCAAAACCTCTCTGCATTGAACTTTGCTTCGAATCCTGAACGGATAAAATCAGTATTTTTTGTGGCCGGTCAACCTGAGCAATGTTGACATATATTGCTGCTGGCTTTGACGGGGGTATAATATAAATATTGGAGGCGCGATAGATCAAAATGCCGGGACAGCTTCTAACGTTGCGAGACTCGTCCCCAACCTATTGAAAACGGATAATTTCCCTCATTCATCACTTGCAGCGAGCAGGTTTTCTTGAATCATCTAACTGCGAAATCAGCGCAACTTTTTCAGTGTGGTCCAGAGGATTTTTCGGCAAAAAGCAGCCAAGACGAATAGCCAACGCACCGACCGGCGTGGGTGGCTATAACTTGAAGCTAATTGAACACAACCAAACTCAAGAAAAGCAGCTATCAAACCTTCCCATTCACTTGACTGCAACATTGGTGTTCCCTCCAGTGAAACACCTCGTATGTCGTCCTCAGTCCACTGTTCTACATCCTTATAAAGAACCCCCTTATCAGTTACCAAGTAGTCGTCACTTTGAATGTGATTCGAGACAGGCAAGAAATCAAAACTTTTTTCCATGATTCCTCCCCATCCCAGAAATCGAAAGCATGCAACCGTGTGTAGTGGAGTAAACAGGCTTTTAAACACGTGATGGAAGGAAACAATCTACTGAGGCTTCACCACACTAATGAACACTCAAGCAAACTGAAGAAGTTTTCGGACCTTGGTCAAATTACATTGTTCGCCACTGCGCCGACAACACGTGTCCGCGAAAGCCACCAGAGACGCGGAGGGGCGCGGAACGACCTGGTCCGGCTGGTTCCCGGTTTTCCTGCTTGGTGGCGTCCGTTTCGCTGGAGTCGCGAATAGCTGTTATGTGGACCCCAAGTTTGTCCGCTTCTTGCGCAGGGGTCGCATTGACAAGAGAACATCAAGCTCTGTGTGGCTCTGACTGAAAGTATAGTGGGTAGACCTCAATGCAAGCTGCCTCAAGGTCTACCCACTAACCTCCTAATAGCAGCCAATCAGAGCTTGGCATTCTGGCGTCACCGCAACTCCTTTTGCAAGAAGCAGACAAGCTTGTACTCCATATTGTGCCTAGTAACACCCGCTTTTATGCATATCCTCCCTTTATTTACTTTATCAAACACAACACAGTCTTCTGGCCACTGAAGTGCATAGGAAAGAGAACACACTGCACTGCATACATCAGTTTACGTCCCTGCCCAAGGCTAAATCGAGATAGATTCCACTACGAGTGGCGAGTTTGCTTTATGTCTGATAGCACATGCAAACCGAGTTGTAGAGTGAGGAATGTGTAGCAGTGTCCCCTCTTTCCCTTTCTCCCTTCCTCCTCCTCCTCTCTCCTTTCCCCTCCCCTCCCTCCCCTCCTCTCCTTTCCCCTCCCCTCCCTCCCCCTCTCTCTCCCCTCTCCTCCTCCCCTCCCCTCCGTCCCCCCTTACCTCCCTCCCCCTTCCCCTCCCTCCCCCCATAGAAGACACTGCCGCCTGGCGAGAGCCAAGCACACACGCTTTCTTTGGAGTCACGGGGCGGCACACAAGTGAGCGGCGTGCATCAAGCAGTGTTCTTAGCTCAAAAATCTAAAAAATATCTTAAATTACAGTTTTTCCTAGATGTACAGTGCCCCTCAAACTTAACGCCGCCACTCGGTTACACTCGGTTACGCAAATATTGATCTATTGCATGCTACCCAAAGATAAATTGGTCGCTGCAGCTCCTCGAATACCTTCCCCTGGTTGGCTTCTCATCGGGGACGCGAAGGTTCACCAAGTAGTTCCACCACTAGGTTCAGGAATAGCTCAACAAGTGAATAAACCAGACGATCTAGTGGCGGCGTTAAGTTTGAGGGGCACTGTACATGCAATCTCTCAAGTACCGCAAAACCTTCACTCTAGTGAAATGCAGTTCCAGGGTCACCTCATAGATGGCACCACTGTGCAAGCGTGTTCTGTCGTCGCAAGTGATTGCAAGAACTCGGTCATAAGCAGACGCAAGTCTGTGAATGGGTCTTTGGACAAGGGTTCTTGAACCAACCTCCAATCTGGAGCCTCATGATGTCCTTGCCGGGCTGTATGGTCGTACCATCCTCCACCAGAAGCTCGAGGATGACTCCGCTTGCCGGGGCGTGAACAGGGATTGATGTCTGCAACATGAGGACACCATTACACTATCATGCTACTATGTTCGTAGGGCGTTGATTTGAGCAAGCTTGTCACAGCCCATTCAAACACTAGCGTTTGATTATGACCGACCGACAAAAGACAGGATTTCAAAGCTCTTGTGATGGCTTTTGACCGGCTGCATCGCTGCGCAGCCAGTCATAAGCCGTCGCATGAGGCTTAAGAACTAGACTTATCTCGGTCGATTGTTGTCAAACGCGAGTGTTTGAATGGGCCTTTAAGCTCCAAGACAGATGGAGAACGTACAAACCTTGTCTGTTTCAACTTCGCAGACCACCTCGTCTTCCGTGACAGAGTCACCAACGGCTGGAAATAAAGGGAGAGATGCAAAATTTTACAAATTATCGCTGGATCAGGTTGTTTGCAGTAGGCTACCTCCAGGGCACGGCATTTGGAGGGAATTTCAGAGTAACAAGACTCCCTGTGGAGCGACAGTGAGCGCACTAGAATGAAACAAAGCTACAGGAATGAGCAGCAATGGATGGGGTTTGCACTGCTTCTTCGTGGCAAGCAGAATCATTCGCTTCGAGTCAGTTGCGAGGGTAAGGGCCATCAACATACATTTGTCTGACCTTCACATTTTTCCTGATGATACCACATGACTAAGTTCATTGATTGTGGGTGTGGGCTACACATGCTCCTCTTGATCCTACTAAGGTGCGTTGTTTGAACTGTTGGCATTATTTTATTTTTATTTATCAATACTGTCAAAGGAGGCATGCGTAATACAGCAAAACTAGTTCAAGCATGTGCAAGCTGGCATGGGTAATTCTGATCACAAGTGGAATGGATAGCAAAATAAACACCCTGCAACGACATACGGGGCTATGTGTGTCGCTCAATGAATGATGCACATCAAGAGTGTGAAACACAGAGTGAGCGTGATGTAGATGCTTTATTGAATTTTAATCAAACTGGTTAGTGTGAAACAGCATTCTTCTAGAATGTTGCGACCGAGGTTAGCAAGGTGGGGTCATGTTTGGGACAAAAACAATGGGTAAATAAAGATTTCCTTGAATACCGTACACGGACGATTCCACTTTGAGCACTGTGTTATCATGGCGTCATCCACGGTATACACAATGTTGCACCCCCCCCTCCCCTGTTGCGTTTTTTGCACGCCATGTACAGGGCAACGCTAGTACCCACCAAACAAGAAGGTTGTGCAAGACCCTGCACCTTGTGAGTAACACTGCACCTAAAATGATCATCCCCTTTCCCGCCTCTTGACTTAGTAGCTTCGCATGGTTACTTTTAAACTTTCCGGTCACCTTTTTTTCTTTCCTCCATGTACTTTAGAGCCTACAGGTCAGCAAAGGCGAAGGAGGCTACAGGCACAACATTGTGGGTTTGAAACATGCTTTCATGAAACAAGTATTTGTGCTGTAAGAGAATACAAAAGATGTCAATGGCAGTGATGTGATTGGCCTAAGCCAGTTTAGAGCACCTTTCGGAGCAGCCAAAACAGTGTTTTGGAGCAGCAAATGTGGCCTTTGTAGCAGCCGAAACAGTGTTTTGGAGCCGCAAAAGTGGCTTTTGGAGCAGATATTCATACAAAAATAAAAATATTTGTTTTAAGTGCTGGACAAAGGAAGGGCACTTTGTGTTGTGTTGCGATGTGGCGCGTTGTGACGGAACTCGCTGCTTGTGTTTTAACAGCTCAGTCATCCCAGAAGTGTACAGTGCTGTAGGCATTGCCGGGCAATTCCGAAAAACCGCTTGCCACCGTTTTACTGATTCCCGACGGGCCAGATTTTCGTAGAAATTAAGCAAACGTGAAACAATGAGTTACAAGCGTCCCGCCCGGTGCCTCTGTTGTGCAATCATGTTCGCATGCACGTGAGGGAAACTTCGGCAGGCTTTCAGTTGCACGTGCTTCATCGCGCGAGCGGAGAGCGGCTGTTCGATCGAAACCGAAACCATGCCACTCCGCTCCGTCGCCAACTGGTTCCCAACATTGTATGGGATAATAAGAAATGGTAACTGTCCAGCATACAACAAAAAACAGTCCAGCGGCGCGTGCTTGCCACGCCGGCAGGCATGGTACAAGCTAGACACACAGAAAAAAGAACCTGAGCGCATCCATGCGAGACATCGCGAGCCAGGGTCAACAAGTTCTTGGAGCGCTTTGTGCAACGACTGAACTTGAGACAAACAAGCGCGCTGTGCGAGTTCAGCGTGCACACATTGCCTTCTTTGCTTTAGCTGACCAACTTTCACTAACTTTCTTTCGCGGCATGATTTTTCACATACTTTCACCAACTTTCTTTCGCGGCATGATTTTTCACATACTTTCACCAACTTTCTTTCGCGGCATGATTTTTCACATATCGTGGTCCCTCGAAAGAAAGCACACCGAGAGAAATCTAGGTAATTATTACTTCGACACGGCAGTCTTTGAGCTAAAGAGGGAGTTTTGTAGTAGCGTATGATTTAAGGAAGAACAGGAATGTTGATGAAAATGCGGCGTTACTCAGTTTCAGTTAAGAAAGCGCCATATCTGCACTGACGTGGGGCGGCAACACCTGATGTTGCGCGACCACAATGACTGGCAGGCAGGGACCAAATATAGTTTTCCCACAGCCGTTGCTTCCAGGAGTGAGTGCTTCAGCTCACGAAGTAACTCCCGCCGCGCAAAAACGTGGTTTCGTCTCACAGCATGACGACATGGCTGGTACCCGGCACGCTAGTGTCGGAGCGTCCGCACACGCCCGTGTCTATCGTTGAAAATGTTTTAAAAAAGATGCGAGACGAGATTCACGAGACGACGAGAGCGCACAGCGCGAAACGATGGGAAAAACTATGCAAGATCGGATGGAACATTGATGCAGGGTACTTTGTGTCGAGCGGCCGTTTGCCTTAATAAGCTCGCGCATGCTCGATTATGGTACTCAGTTTAGTTTCGGTTTTGAAGGGCCACCGAAATTGGCCCTTTGGTGCAGGCTTGGTGCAGATCACCCATATTTTGGCAAAATGTAGCAGGATGTAGCAGGGTTAGCCCCTTGGCGCAGTTTGGCCCAATTGGCGCAGCAATCACATCACTGCAATCGAGGCAACAGACTGTGTGAGAGTGAAACACTGTTTCATAAGAATTTCCTTTATATAAAACAATGAAATTAACTCAAGTTTTGAGTTTACTGTATCTCCTGAGCAGTCACACTAGATGCATACAAACCAAGGGGTAGTTTCTCTTAGATTTGTCCTTAACGTTTTCTGCTTACTTACTTAAGACATCACCCATCCCATTTCTTTGAAGGGATGCTGAACCGAAATGTGGATTTCACAAAATAAGGCCGCAGAAGCGCTGAATGATATGCTACAAACACCAGAACATCACTCATACATGAATATGTCAAACAGATGGCCATATTTTTTGAAAGAAGGGTGCAACCAAGCGAGGACTGTGACGTCCGAATCCTTCTGGAACAGTGGAGAATGAGGGGAAGCAGCCTCACTTGTCTCTTTCTTGCTTCGCTCCATCTGCTCGAGGGGACGAAATGAAGAGGAGAGGAAATGAAAATCGTGACTCGAGATGTCTCGTTGGCCATGTTCAATCGTGCACTTCTTTTCCAAAAATACGGCCATCAGTTCGAGATATTGCTGTATGAGTTATGTTTTGGGGTTTTTCAGCACCCCGCCTATTCCTCCAGCCTTGTTTCGTGAGCTCAAAATTTCGATTAAGCATTCTTTAATGAATTTCTAGCAGCAAGTGGGTGATGTCTCGGGGTATCATGGTAGTACACTGTTCTGGGTTTTCAGCGACTCACCTTTGATCCACCGGATGTCACCTTCACTCAGCGACTCTGCCAGTTGGGGGCACTTGATGACACGCACCTCGCCACTTCCCGACGTCGCTGGGGCGGCAGAGGCAGGGGCGGCAGAGGCAGGGGCGGCGGAGGCAGGGGCTGGGGTAGGGGGTGCACTTGCAGGCTCGGGAGCAGACGCCGAAGTTCCTCCGCCTGCCGGAAGAAAAGGGAACCTCGTGAGGAGCACTTGTTTCAATTCAAAAGGGGGACCCAACTGAGAATCAGTTCAACTAATTCCAGTTAAATCCAGCTGGAAATTGAACTTAATCCAGCTGCATCCAACTGGATTCAGTTGGGATCAGTTCCACCATCCACCTCCAGCTGGATTGATTTTCACCTGGGGAGCTTTTAGTAAAGATGTAGGGTAGATGCGTGTGAAAGCACAGCGAGCAAGAGGCAGCACAGCTAATATGGGGTGATGGTGCCATCATGTGATGTCCCTACATCAAGGAGCAGATAGATAACTGGTCTAGCTTTTACTTTATTCTCAGGCTTGGCGTGCTCAGCAGGTAGCGTAAAATATTTGGGACTTCCTTGGTCATACCTGACATTGGCGTCATACTTAAAGTATGTTTTTGGGTCGGTAAATCTTAATGCAATTGTATGAATCAAAATTTATCCATTTAAAAAAAAAAGAAAAAAAGAAATCCAGCAAAATTTTGTGATTTTTTATGAAAATGCAACTGTTGTGGTTATGTTCATAAGATCGCCTATGCCAGCCAATGGAAGTGAGGCGGCACCTGCAAAGGAGTTCTGCTGTGTTGGTGATACTACTGCAACGGCCATCGAAGTTCAAGGCATACCGAGTCAACAAAACTCATTAAATTTGGCTGACGGGACACCCTCCACCATATATAAATGGAGATACCATGAGAGAGAAAACCAGTAAACTGTCATCAGTTTTCAAAAAAAAAATGAAATGTCCTTTCCAAAAAAAAAAAAAAAAGAGTGTAAAAGTTAAGAGGAAAAAAAAAAGTAAACATATATTACTTTAACGGTTATGCCCAAGACAGTGTCATGATAAGGTGTGTCATGTGTCATAGTCACCCTATCCTTCCTTATTACTGAGATTCATGCTCACTTAACCGATTGAGGTACATTGGTCAAAAGCATCCTATAACTTTACACAATCTACCGTGTTAGCATGATTCCAATGCATGCCCAAAAACACATGCACATAACAATCGAAACCAAAAACGAACCTCAAAAAGAAAAACACAATACTTGGTATAAGGTGGCTAGCCCCATCACCATCGTGACCGTTTTTTTACATTCGCCATTTTGATATCTGTATCGTGCGCATTTTCTCATGCCTACTATGGTGGCTGGAGCACGTCTTCGACCGGCGTATTTGGTGTCTTATGCTGCAAATACATCAAAAGTGGTCCCGAAGTGGGAACAAATGATGTCACAGAAGTCGGAGGGTGCTGCTGTTGCATGTCGCGATCCATGCGGTTGGTTGAAGAAACAATAACGAAAAGCTACGAGTAGCACAATCGAACGCAAGTATCGCTGTCGTCACGGCCTCCCAACTTGTGGTTCCCGAAGCTTTCATGGACTGCCACACTGGAAAGCGACTTGTAGCAGAACAGGCATCTGCCGCATACACCACAGCTGTAGGGATGCTGCCAGGATCGCAACAGGAGACAGCATGACACTTCTATGACGTTATAAGGCAGAAAAGGAGGGACACTTTTTTGGAAGTGGTAAACACACCAGTCGGAGACGCGTTCCAGGCACCATATATGTCTATGGACTCGTATCTGCCGTTTATGAGATGGAGAAACAAAAGCAATTCTACTAGGAGGCTTCATTTAAACGAGAAATGGACCGAATCTGCCGAACTTCAGATTCAGCGAAGTTCGGCACCTGGAAAGTTCGGCAAGGATTCGGAAAAAATTTGGCAAACATCTGCGCACATGCGAGAACGCGACAGGGCCGTGGATTGTAGTGATGGGCCGAACTTTTGCCGAATCGAAAATTCAGCACCGAATCTTACGATTTGGCAAAGATGAATTTTTACCGAACTTTTCTAAAGATTCCGGAAAGATTTGGCAAAAATACATTGTTGCCAAACCTAAAAGTTAGTATTTCGTTTTTCCAGGCGAAAAAGATTTTAGGTTGTTTTTTTTTAAAGCATATTGACACAGTTGTTACTAAATAATGTGATATTCTACGAGATAATCCTATTGGTGTCATTTTTGTGTGTTTACTGGCACTTTTACAGTGACCATTTGCAGAAGTGGTGCGACAACAAGGTTGCGTGGTAGCAGGGTAGCGGGCACAGTCACGATACGCAAGTTTCGGTTTTGATGCCTCATTAGCGCAAGTCTGCAAGTGCGCACGTACAGTCAGCAGCAAAAGTTTTCGGGGCACGGGAGCGCCAACCGAAAAGACGGACTGCGCCTTCTGATGGCGCATTGCCGCTCTCAAGACTCGGGCTTTGCGCATTCGCTTCCTTTCGTGTTTGTGGTTATGTATCTTTTTTGCTTGCTTCTGTTCGGCGCCAATGAGATAACAGGGACTGGCGCAAGGTGCCACAAAATGTTATCTGTAGCATGAGCGAGCTCCGACAGCCATCACAGTGGCCGAGGCAGAAACGCGGCATGATGGCTGACAAAGCGGCACCTTGCGCCGGTCCTCGATTATCTCGTGCACATCGGGCGGAAGCGAGTAAAAAAGACATGACTGCAAGCACAAAAGGAAGCACATCCTCGAAGCGTGAATCTTGAGGGCGGCCGCTCACTGTCAGAAGGCACAACCAGTCATTTCCACTGGCGCTCAAGTGCCCCACAAACCTTTGTTGCCGACTGTACATTGTTGAAATAAAGGCAGTAACATTGTGTTCTTACTTTCTCTGCCAGTCACAGTTTCATGTGAGAAAATGAATGCAACGGCTGCTGAACCTTGACAAGAAGAGATTACAATGTTATAGTAAATAAGCTTTTTTTTTTTATTTATTTATTTATTTATTTTTTTTTTGTTATTGCAAGAAAGTGCACGTCTCCTATTTGCAGCATCTCATTTTTCATTTCTAAAATTCTGTATTTTTTTTAATGTTCGGACTCGAGCTGACATTTAGGAGTTAGGAATGCTGTCTTTGCAAAGTCGAGCATGATAGTTCTGTATTTAGTTTTATGTGGACAGATGAAAAGTGTGAAATAATGCTAATTAAAAAGCAATATTATTTTGGTTTGGCACAAACTACTTGTGAACCGAGAACAGGATTGCTATAATGGCGAGGAGTGCTTTAAAGTACTTGTCAGTCAATGTTGCAACTACCTCTTGCATCACTGGAAATATCATATGAAAATCATGTTTCCAGAATGTACCGCATCATTTGTCATTAGCGCACTAGGCTGCATCAATTCCTGGTAGATCTTCTGTTCTTGAGGTAGAAAGTATTGAAGAAAACCAGACTCACAAAGGCTGACAGACACACAGTTACCATATGCTTTGCGCCTCGACCTAACCACATGACCACACAGCATCTATTTGCAATCTTTGCTGAACTTTCGAATGTGCCGAACTTCGCCGAATCTGAAGTTCAGCAGAATAGGTCCATCACTAGTGGATTGCAAATGGACATTGTGCAGTTGCGCGGTTACCATTGTACAATGCAGTACTACCATCGGTTACGGCGAAGTGCGGAGTAGGCGACATGGTAACTGTGTGTTTGTCAGCCTTTGCGAGTGTGAATTTCTTCAATATTTTCTTCCTCAAGAACAGAAGATTGACCGGGAATTGACGCAATCCACTGCGCAAGTGATTAATGATACGGTACATTCTGGATAACGCGATTTTCATTTATATTTCGAGTGATGCAACAAAGTAGTTGCAACATTGACTGACAAGTACTTTAAATCACTCCTTGCAATTATGGCAATCCTGTTTTTGGCTCACAAGTAGTTTGTGCCAAAACAAAATTTATATTACCTTTTGATTAGTGCTATTTTGCGGTTTTCATCTATCTGCATAAAAGCAAACTCACAACTATCATGCTCGACGTTGCACATTCGACATTCCTAATTCTTCCCTTCTTGCTAAACATCCGAGTGTGTCCTAACACCAGAAAAAGGCATTTTAAAGGTTAAAAACGAGATGTGCTGAATATGGGATGCACACTTTCATGCAAAAGCTGGCGTTAAGTGACTCAAAGAAAAAAATATGCATATTTACAATAATATTGTTCTCTCTTCTGGTGAAGGCTCAGCAGCTGCTGCACTCATTTTCACCCACGAAATGGTGACTCACAGAGAAAAAAATAAGAACACAGTGTTACCGCCTTTATTTTATAAATGTACACTTTTGCAGGCTTGCGTAGATGAGGTCTTAGAATCGAAACTCACGTATTGTGACTGCACCCACTACTACCCAACCTTGTTGTCACACCACTTATGCAAGAAGTCACTCTAAAATTGCCAGTACACACACGAAAATGACACCGATACAGTTATCGTGTAGAATATTGCCTTATTCAGTAATAACTGTGTCAATATGCTTTATAAGAAAACAAAATAAAAACTGTTTTTGTTTTAAAAAACGAAATATTAACTTTTAAGTCTGGCAACAATGTATTTTTGCCGAACCTTTAGAAAAGTTTGGTAAAAACTTGCTTTGCCGAATCTAAAGATTTGGCGCCGAATTTTCAAATCGGCAAAAGTTCAGCCCATCACTAATCTAAAAGAAAGGCCATCAGACTTTGGGACTTTTTCAAATTCTATGTTAAGCATGCAATTTGACAGGACAAGTACAGTGGGTGCTCCCCCGGTATTTTACGGTAAAACCCTGAGACAAGAAAAAGGTTTTAAGCTGCATCACTGGAGTGTTTCTCCAAAGAAAGACTTATCTGCTTGAAGGAAAACAAGAGCGCAAGGCTAGTTCACACTGAAAGGTTCAGTACCTCCCACGGACATCTTGAGGATGTCTTTTCCGGGCTGGATGGTGGCTCCATCTTCAACCAAAAGTTCCACGATTTTGCCAGCAGCGGGAGCGTGGATTGGTATGGACGTCTGAAACAAGAGTGAAACAACAAATTTAAGACCGCATCTTTCAGAAAGGGCGAGCGGGCAACTCCAAAACTTTTCTTCTCTAAATAATATTTTTAACCTCGCAGCAGGCTTGAGATGCTGTCAGGTTTTAAACAAGGTAGCATATGATTAGATACTTTAGCATCAAGCAAAATATTCTGTAACATTTCTTCTTTTTTTTTTCTTATGCACAACTAAATTTTTTCCCCTCGCAGGATTCACAAGATTCACAAAAATCATGTCTTCCCCCCCTCCCCCTCCACCCCCAAAAAAACAACTTGATTCGCTCCAGCATATTTTTCCTAAAGAACTATTTAAAACCAAAATCTACACACCAATAACATAATACACAGAAAAACAAAGGCGAAGCAGATGAGGACAACAGAACACGGCATATCCTGTTCTGTCATTACACGGTATCCCATTGTCCTCAATTTTTGGCGTATTATGTTAAAGGTTAACCAGAACAGCCCAATTAGCCACATTAATCCACACATCAACATCTCATAAAGGCTGCTCGAGACATCTTTGTTTTACTGTGACCGTGTTAGGAACGTTTATGATTGCTTACGACAAGATTGTCACTATTGTGACCGAGGTCCGAGCAATGCATCAGATTGGAATGCAAAGAGTCGTAAAGTGGTCGGTCACACTCAAAAACAAATGTCTAAACCAGCCTTAAAGGGGCGGTGCAAAGATATCCAGTTGGAATGCTTTTTACTTTACACGAGCTTAGCACTAGTGGGACCCAAGTATACTTGCACGCAACAGCACTGACCAAGAAACCTCTTTGTTGCGGTGTAATTTAAAGAATAAAAGCAAGCGTTTTCTTGTAACCTCTCCCTTGCAAAACTTGATGACGTATTTTGAAGGCTGCAGTGTTGGCATTGTCTCCCAGTGATAATATTTGAATGCGACTCATAGATTGGACTTGAGCATTGCGCGAGCCCTCGATTTGGGTTCGCGATAATCAATAGCTCGACAAGCATTTGGGTAGTGGCCAACAATGTCTGGAACTCAGCGCGCATCCTGTGCTTTGCTAACCCTAGCACGTGGCTTTCATGAACACTGGTGGCATATTATCGGTTCCAGGTCACATGGTTGCTCGTTTCGGCTGCAAGTTGAAAGAATGCTTCGTGTTTTTCTTGAATTTTCTTTTGTAACTACCATCACACGAGGAGAACTAATGCGTGCTTCAAGGCTATAAACACCGGGGATTCATTCTAGGTGGTATCTACGCAAAGTATGAAATTCGCTGCACTGCCCTCAAGCTGCGAGCATTAAGAGCAGAGTCCGCCGGCTTACCTTGTCGGTTTCTACCTCGCATATCACCTCGTCTTCTTTAACCGTGTCGCCAACGCCTGGAAGGTATCACACAAAAAGACGTTTTACGGCCGCAGTGACGAAAAAGGGGTGTCGGTCCCACACACTTGCTTTTCTTTTCCCAAACTATTCTACTTCCGTCTTCTTACCCATTCCTCTTATCCCTGTTTTGTTCCCATTTTTTCCTGTACATACTAGACCCTGTAGTCACTGAGAGTGTAAGAAACACAAGGCGTAGTTTATGTTTGTGCTTCTTGCTTTGTGATTCGTTCCGTGTATTCTAAAACACGGACAACATCCGTGTATTCTAAAACAGGTTGTATTACTGTCGTGTAGATTGCAAGCTTGGTTGCAGGGGTACAGTGCTTCAGCCGCCTCTTTAATGACCATAGCTTTGCTCATGCCTTCTGAGCAGTCCCGGATATGTGGCTATTCCAACTGAGATTTGAAGAGATTATGACCCGTTAGTATTTGAATTCGTGCAGAACTTGTAAAGGGCAGTTTTGTGTACAGTAGCTAAATTCCAAGGGTAACCTTTTGCGCATCGGTCTCATTTGTACACTTTTCGAGCTGTAAAGCAACATTTGCCATTCGTTACACCATTGAGAAATTGAACACAGGCACTTGTTTAATATAAGTTGGTCATTGCTCGAAGCTTTTTCAATAAAAAGCACACAGTTATCTGCAAAAAAAAACAGCAGTGTATATGCTCATCAACCGTCAAATTGTTTAGAAAAACAAGAAAGAGCAGTGGGCACAGCACCGATCCTTGTGGAATGCCCAAGATAACTGGTACAGTTGGAGAACAAGCCTTACCTACTTCAACAAACTGATAACGGTTGCTCAAGTCCTACATGAGGGTGGTGACACGCCGTGTCACATCTCAGAGTTAAAGCTGTGTTTTCGGTAGCAGCCACACCGCGTGACCACATTCTCCGGATTTACGCGTATGAAGGCCCTTTCAGACGAAAGGAAAGACCGTACCCGTTGTCTTTGATGCTCTGAAAGAAGTTACGGGGCGTAAGAAATGTCAAAACCCAAGTGTTTTGGGCTCCGGGCCAGGCCATTCTGGAACAGAGGCGACATGGTAGCCGTGTCTCGCCAGGTCGTGCCAACCACAAACGAGCCCCGAGCCCGAGGGGCTCTGGCGGAAGTAGGAACAGCACCGAGGTAGGGACTGCTCGTTCTGCGGTACCAGAGCTCGGAACTCTTGGCATCTGTTTTCGCCGGAGCCTCTAGGGACTCCCTCTGATGCAAAAGTCATGATTTGCAAAGCCACCGAGCAGCTCATCTATGATGGCAAGAAAAGCTTGTATTTCTTTGAGGAAGAAAAATGTGGATAAACAACCAAGGCCGCTCTCTGCCACCGTCGACAAAATTGGCCGCCGCCATGTTCTCGGCTGTTCACCCGCGGCGAGCACCTTCCCATAATCCTCCCCATCTCTAAATGCAAGGCGACCTCCGTTTACATTGGATGAATGAATATGCCTTCGCCGTCCCAATCCACGTCCGCCTAGCGGCATGAATGCAATGCGCTTCACTAGTGTATTATGCAGTTTACACGATTGTGTTGAATGCGGCAACTGGAGTCGATGCACTTAAGTAGTATTCATGTAAACGCAACTTAAAAGTGTCTACCTACCTTAAATTGCAGCCAGGGAACCCCTGCCCTTTTCAACACTCTTAAAAAAAATATATACCTATAACAATTTTTTTTAATGTAATTAGTTATAGACTACATATCTTATAATTGCTACATTCCAGCAGTTTTGCAATGAGTGAAGACAAATACACGGTGTTAAGAGGAGAAAATACAGTGCAGATTCAGTAACACGCTGCACGTGAAAGAGCACAGTGCTGAGGCTCACCTTTGATCCACCTGATGTCACCCTCGCTTAGCGATTCGGCCAGCTGTGGACACTTGATGACCCGCAACTCGTCGCCTGCAGGCATCAAGAGAGAATGCCTCATTGTCAGAATGCAGGGCTGCAAACCGTGCTATGCCGGACAAGAATAGAGATCACACTCACGTAATGCAGATGTGGTTGAAATGTGCCGCACAAGGCCGTCCCTCCAGCAACTTGTTTCTGGACAGCACCTGAGAAGAAAGACAGTTTCCATCAAGAGGAAAAAAATTAGCCTCCAAAGCAAAGAAAATCATAAAACAATTTAACTGTTGTTTTTGAAGTTTATGGTTACTTTTTATTGATCTGCTAAGTTTCTAATTTCACAGATTAATATTGAAGCCTTAACGTCAATTCATCTGTGCGAGCTGAATTTGAGATGAAATTGATCTCAAAAAAGAAAATCTGAACTCATTGGAAATTTGTGCGAGGGCACATCAGCAGCTCAAACAGATATAACAATGAAATTTTTGTGGAATATATAGCGAAATTTGCAAAGCATTCAATGTTCGGAATGAAATTTTCAATTCATGTCTATTAAAGGTTTAATCACTCAATTTTGCATCCCTTTGGAACCACACATTGAACACTAATCTTCAATGTACTGTACACTCGCTAATACTGGTTTGATCTAAAGAATACTCTGAACATTAGCTTCTTCCTACTTTATTGTATCTACCACATGTTAATAGTATCTTTTTGTTGAGTAGTCTTTTCTCTTATTTTCTCCCACAAATAATGGCATGCAAATTTTTAATCCCCCCAAAAACCGATAGACTTATTGAAACAATGGTGAGGTATTTAGAATCAGTGCAAAGAGTTGAACTACCGTATAATATCTAGAAGGATACGCCTGCTCCAAATGATAACCCACCCATATTTGTGGCTTGATTTGCAGTTATTTGAAAAACACCAAAAGATAGCCCACATTTAGCAATTCCAGTGTGCTGGCCAATGATGACCTTGGCCGAAATAGGGTTAGCTATGGTGGGAGATAAGCAAACCTTGCTGACTGGGAAGGGCGCTTGTATATGCTTCCATTGCTCCTCAATGCGGAAACAAGTTTGGCAGGCCACAAAACACAAAAATAGCCTTTCTTCATTTTTTTTTTTCTTGATCTACACCGAAGCCCACTTCTCATTTCCACCCGATTTGCTCTCTCTTTAAGGTGGGCGATCTCTCAGAATATTACGGTATGCAGTATCACTAAGCTTTCTAAAAATCATGAAGCATAGCTCTAGGATCGGTGTTCCCATTTAAAAGCCTATCACAAAAGGGAAGCTGGTGGCAGGAAACAGGATAACCTTCTCTCCCGTAATTATCTCGTTGGACAACATTGGGACCTGTGTATGATGCATGCAGCCCCAAAGTAATCACTGGCTGCTGTTTTTCTTTTGTTTTTTTTCTTCAGTTTGGTATTTTCGAAGCTTAAGGCCCTATTGCATAATGATATTGCTTCCAGTAAGCGTGACTACCGCAGACAGATAATTTAAATGTATGTGTGCTAGGGGAAATAATTTTTTTTTATTATGTACAATAACTAAATTAAATTTTCACAGTTTATAGTGCTTGACATCCTTTTTATGAATTGCGGGTCAGTTTTGATATAGCTTGTTTTTTTCTGTTCGTGATGCAATGCAAATGCAAAAAAGACAGAATCTTGCCCACATGCGGGGCATGGCAACACACTTAACAGGGCCTAGTAAAGCAGGCTAATTCGCTCCTTTTAAACCACTAAATAAAATGAACGACAAAAATAATGTTTGTAAGACCTCTCCTATCTTAAAATAATTGAAAATCAAAAAAACATTTTTAAAGGGTGAACAAAAGTTTCTAGAGTTCTCAAATATATAAAAATAATATATACATTCTAACCCAACCTTGATAGTTGCATTCTACATATCCTAAAGCACATGCATGCCAAATTTGGTTGTGATGGGACATTATTACAAACAAAAAGTCTTGTGCACAAATGGTGAAGATGCCCCAAAATTACAAAAAAGGAGAGACACGTTCAAATGTTACCATAAATCTGTAGCGACACTCTCTACGGTGACAGAAAGCACTTTTGCAAATAATGTTTCGTGAGAAGTTGAAGCTACAGAAGAATGCGGTGGAGAGGAGATGGCTAGGCCTACTTCTCAAAATAAATGCGATGGCAGGGGATGCCACCATTAGAAGAATCGCACACATGAAAATGGCTCAAATTTATGCCTTTCTGGATCACCGGGACTATTATACATTCAGGACTATAGTCCATGGAATATACATTTGTAGAAGTTTAAATTTTACACGTTGTGGACTATTTACAGGTGCATACTATACAAGGATATATTTTTTTTCTAGATCATCCACTGTGACAAGACATAAATGATTTTATGAACAACGGAGTATATTAATGTTGATTTATATATTATACAAGCTTCTCTGTGAGCTAAGAAAGCAGGCATTTGTCAAGGTGTGCTGTGTATGATAATTTTTATGTTTGGACTAGGCACTAAGTGCAGACTATGCACCGGGTGCAGACTATCTAAGCAAAAACTTTTATTTTTGACCCCAAATTTGCTCCTGCGGGCTGTGCACTAGGTATGGAAGAATGTCCAGAAAATATTGTAGTTCAGCAATCATATCTGGTCCTCATTTTTATACTTATTTTTATTTTTTTATTTTTATACATAAAGTATATATATTCAAAGATAATAAAACCACCAGAAACCCGAAATCACATTTTTTGCAAAATATTGCAGTTTTTTTACCTGCACCTCCCCTTAACACCAACAGATAATCCCTTATTTTGTTTTTATAAGAGAGTTGATCATCTGTAGAGAGAAGAGGGCATAGATAGATGAGAAAGACAGGGAGATATCTGAACCTTTTATATGCTCTGTAGTATGTTCAGCTTAGAGGTGGTTGCACAATCCCTTTTGTCCATTGCGACATGAGCATAAAATGCCCCTACAAGTTCCTATCTCTGAAAACCAGCTTGTGTCGACACAAGCACATTTTTGATCCCCGCTTGATGAATGTGAATCGTCTGAATTGAGCACAATTCTGACAATGTGGAAGAATATTTTTTTTATAGGCAAGCAACGCAGTGCTCGCTACTGCACGAAAGGTGACGAGATCCGTACTGCACTGACCAAATGACCCCCTACACATTTGAAAGGTAAACCGACTCTCCAGTGTATAGACCATAAAACTACCATAAAATCCAGAAAGCGCATCCACCCAAAATGACCAGATAAACAATGAAAAACATGAGGTAGGCTATCTTTGTGGATGAGGCAGCAAAACTTAGGGGCTCTCCCTACAACCAGGTGCCAGGGGGACTGATTCTGAAGATCGCTGAAAGGCAAACTCGCGTTTCACAACGCGACAAACATGCGGTAATTCGCTATAAATTCCTGTCTCACGAAAAAGGATTCAGCAGATTGCTGGATGAAGTGGAAACCGTGTACAAATTTGCGTGCTACGGGGACCGACATGGCGCACTCAGATCGCGGCAAAAAACGCGAGAACTCGCTATGAATTCTCATGTCACGGGAACCGATATCGAGCGCGCAGATCGCGAACAAAAAAAACGCGGGAACTCGCTATGAACTCTCATGCCACGGGAACCGATATCAAGCGCGCAGATCGCGAACAACAAAAAAAAAAAAAAAAAAAAAAAAAAAAAAAAAACGCGGGAACTCGCTATGAACTGCCACGGGAACCGATATCAAGCGCGCAGATCGCAAACAAAAAAAAAAAAAAAAAAAAAAAAAAAAAAAAACGCGGGAATTCGTTATGAACTCTCATGTCACGGGAACCGATACCGAGCTCGCAGATCGCGAACAAAAACCGCGGGAACTCGCTATGAACTCGCATGTCACGGGAACCGATATCGAGCGCGCAGATCGCGAACAAAGAACGCGGGAACCCGTTGCGAACTCGCTTGTCACACGTACTGGTACCGCAGATCGCGCAATTGATGTGATTCCCGTCGGGCATCGCGTGATGTCCGACTGGAATTGGGAGGTGGGCGATGTCTAGGATTTCTCATGTTACGGATATTTAGCCAGAAAAACGTGGTGGGCGATCTCTCGGGGGAGGGCGCCCTTATGGGATTTTACGTTTACCACCCCCCCCCCCCCCCCCAAAAAAAAAAAGTAGAAAGAGACGCAAACAAGTTTCTTTCGACATCGGATGTCTCAACAAAATTATACTTAGAACTAACATTAACTCGCATATTTTGTATGCTCGTTGCAGATAATGCTACAAAAATAGATAAAGCGGGAAAAAAGACCCGAGCAGAAAGGGGAACTTTTAGTGAGGACAAACAGGAGGGAGAGGGAAGAAAAGAAAGAGTATGGGAAAGAATGCTGTCCAAGATTAAGCCATGATACTTATTTCTTTTTTCTTGCAAGATATTTCATTTTTTACCTTGCAAATCTTTCGCATTTCATTTAATTAAAAACCAGGTTGCTGAAACATAAAGTACGACAAATCCTAGCTCTCAATGAAAGCTGCGAGTTTCTACTAGCTTTCTCAGTTGTGATTCCTGTCAGTTCCCACCGTCCGAAACACTAGAACGGCGAAGATCCCTCAAAGTAACCAAAATAAACCGCAACATCAAGTCGTTATGAAAGCACAACCTTTGCAACTGATTCGGTCCCATAAGCTCCATGATACACAGGCACGCCAAACAAACTACAGGTAGCACACGGAAGAAAAAAGAAAAAAAAAAAAAGAAAGGATGACTGCGTTGCTCTTAAAGGAACTTTTAATGGGAAAAAGCCAGGACGGCACAGGGAAAAGAACACAATTATCTCTTCTCCGCCTAACGCGCATAGCTGCACAATCCAAACGGGGGCGCACTTACGTACAGGTTACCCTAAAACGGGGCAGAAACAAGAATATGGAAGCAGAAATGAAATCAAACTTTTATCGTTAGGTAAACCAATGCAGATAACCTAGCAGTAAGTGCGCACATCGAGGCTGCGACCAGCCAGCAAACTCCGAGTGAAAATCTAATAAGGATAACTCCCTCAGTCCTAATTTTTTTTTCTTTTTCGTTTCATGATTAACAACAGCCCAACTAACATGGATGCTCATAATGCGCATTTCGCGTCAACTATGGCGGTGGTGGCGGCGAGTAATAAGAACAAAAACAAACGACGTTAACGATGAAACCTCGGCTCCCTCCCTTAAACCGAACCCTCCCCCAACCCTCGAATTATCCCGAAACTTAACTCGAGGTACACGGCGCGCGATATCCCGCTCTTTTTACGATCAGTGAGCCCCCCACCACCGCCATCTCTTCTTTCTTTAAACATCACGGGTGGACTGGGGGAAAAAGATAGCGATGTTTTCCGACAACCACCGCGGACGACGAGCCTTTGAAAAATGGCGAGCATCTCTTCCGCGTTCGCTCCCGAAAAGGGAAAAGAGAGGGGGGCTACACTGCCGAGCGTTTCGACACAGGTGTGTATAAACGTACGGAACCGTAACAGAAAAGGCGAACGAACGTCCGTTGGACGAGGGACGCCGCCATTAAAGAGAACGCCGACGACGAACCGAACAGCCGTTGTTTGGGGAAGAAGGGGAAGAACGCCGTAGCAGACGACACATAACGGCGTCGTAGTTTGGGGAGAAAAGGGAAGAACGCCGTAGCAGACGACACGTAACGGCATCGTAGTTTGTAGAGAAAAGGTAAGAAGAAAAAAAAAAGGAATGTTCCTAATGGGGAACTTTCGTCGCTGTTTGTCACGGCTACGCAGCCGTTTCTCCCCTTCCCCCACCTCGAGTTTTGAAACCGTGTAACGTTCGAGAAAACGAATGGGGGGACGGCCCGACGTTATATGATCAAAAGTTGTCGCGAGAGCTAGCTTCCTTTTCAATTTCGCCGAAAATTGAACGACACACTCCGACCGGCGCGAAGCGGATGATAATAACGAATAAGAGACGGAAACTAAACTACGACGAGTCTAACAACAATAACAATAATAAGAAGAACGACAACAACGCAGTTGTAGATAGACGCTCGCGAAACGAACACCAACGGCCAATCGGCGAAGCCGGTGCGCGGAGAGATAGAAAATCGTAAAATAAATAAATAAATAAAAAAATCGGTAGCTTGTCGCGAAAGCAATATTGTCCCGTAAGGTGCGGAAAAGTACTGCTTGCAAGGCATCATATAGACCGGCCACGGCCCAAAACGGGCACGCAGCCAACAATAAATAACTCCGCGAGCGCACTAAGGAACAAATAAAACTTTAAAAAAGTATATATATATATATATAAAAAGCACGCGTCAAGCGACAAATTGTTCCGAGACGCGTCGCGCGCAACTCAACGATAACGAAAACTACACAGGAACAAACAAAAAAAGATGATCATAAACTACAAGAAAACGACGAAGGTAGGTACACGAAATTGAACGTTGGCTGCGATTTCTCCCTCTTGTTCTATTACTTATTTATTTATTTTTTGTCACCGTAGCCGGGTTCCGCCGTGTTCCCCGTCGCCGCGTCTCGCGCATTCCGTTGTCCGTGCAGCAGCAACACGGCGTCCTCTCTACAGTTCCTTTTGTGCGCGGCGCGCGTCGACGAGGCTGTTCTCGATTTTCGGGGCAAAGTTAGCCCCCGTCCTATCTTGGCTGTATACCGTTCCCGGGAATCACATTCCAGCCGAGAGTGGCCAACGGGCGACGTCGCGCCGACGCTGCCATATTTCAAAAAGTGTTTTGTAAGAAGAGAGCGTCGAGCGAGCTTACCTATCGCTCGCTTCCCCCACTTTTTTTCGTTTCTTCCTTCAATGTAATGTAAAAAAAAAGTTAGCATCGTGCACCTCATTGAATTCCATCCTTTTGCTCCGAGGAAACTTCGTTCGCCAGTCTTTTCTCTCTCTGTCGTTTCAAGATTTTGTCTGTATTTTTTTTCCTCTCTCTCTTTTCAAGGCGAGTTTTCTAAAAAAAAAAAAAAAAAAAACGCAAAGAGATGATAAAAAAAAAGTGCTCGCGTTCGAATATCTTAGAAATGCGAAACGAATGATGCCGCGCGAGAATGTCCGAGCCAATAGCGACGCACGCAGCCGCTGCAGTTTGGGCGATATATAGAACGCGGATGCGCAGGCTAAACTGAGTTTGTGGTCAGCACTCGTTAAAAACACACACACAAAAAAAGTATTCGCACCTATTATACCTTTACTCTACTCCCCTCCCCTCCCCTCCCTCTCCCCCCCCTCCCCTCCCCTCCCCTCCCTCTCCCCCCCGCCCCCCCCGCCCACCCTCCCCGGTTTTACCCCATCCTCTCTTAGAACAACACCCCAAACGTTGAGGGCTAATATCAAGAACTCAATTCACACTCTCTATATACGATTCCGATTGCCTAGTTAGATGGTGCTTTGCTTCGCTACCGACAAATAAGCATCCCTCTATTCGCAGTGTAGAACAAAGACACGGCAAAGAATACCGCCTATAATAGGAAAAGCCAAGTGGGATCACGCCCCCCTGCAAACAGTAAGCAAGAGCGCGAGCTGCTCCTGCCAAGGGTGCTGCACCTTGCGCTCTCAAGCCATGAGGCGAAGCCAAGAGGGCAAAGATCGGTGGATGGAATTGCAGTTATGCTTTTTGAACCGGGCGGCAGCTTGCGCCACCTACTCGGTATTTTTTCCCCTCATCAAAGGGAAAATGTCAACAACACTAATCGGTAAAAAAAAAAAAAAGTGGATTAAAAAACGGTACAGCTAAAAACTTCTAGCGTCACCGGAAAGCTGATTACGTCGGCGAGAAATGTCTGTTGTTTTGTTTGCATAGTGGGACACGGTCCTCGGCGACCGCAGCCGGGAAGAACAATTGATCTCAAGTAATCCCGCCGTCCAACCAACGTTCATACCGTGGTCCAAATGTTCCGTCGCAAAACTTGCTCGACCCATGATCCGTTTCGGCGCATCTTAGCAAGCCGAGGAAGCTATGGCTTTAGTAAGCCCATTGCAGCGCCGGAGCGAAGCACGTGACAACGAACTGCTGAAGCGCACATTTTCTGATGATTAGGAGTTAAAATGCGCAGCAGCAACGAACGCCGTAGTACGCCGTACACATTCGTAAAAAGCTGTAGCGCGGGTCTCTCCGATGCCCCGATAGGCGCGCAATGGCCGTGGATTTCACCGTTGGCCAGATTATGCAAAAATTAAGTATAGCCTTGATTTTTTTTATATATATGTATATATATAAACGCTCCGTATGCCATGCAGCGCGTGGGCGCTGTGCGAAACGTTCGGGCAAAAGCGGATACAAAAAAGAGGCGAGTCCACTTACTGAGAAGCATTCTTGATCGCTAGTCGTCGGGTGCTCTTGGAGCCTGCAAAAAAAGAAAAAGAACACGATGAGCTACAGACGCAAAACAAGATTACTGATTGCTTCCAGAATTTTGTCTGGCAGATACGTAATAGTAGAGAGAAAGAGAGCGAATCAAAGTGGGAAGGGGAGGGGTAAATTAGGTAAGCCATAGCGCTAAGCAAAATTCCAGGTTTTGCCTCCTGCTTAATTCTGTTTTTTTTTTTTCTTTTTATTTATTCATCGTCTTCACGGAACAAGTGTCAAGTTTCACTTCGAAACTTTCCTAACCACACGCTCATGTTAAAAAAACCTTAGCTTTTCCCGCAAAACACACACACACAAAAAAAAAAGAAATACTTCCTCCCCCCCCCCCCCCCCCAAAAAAAAAAAAAGAAAGAAAAAAGTGCGAGTGAAAACAGCAGTAGGGTTTCTCACTCGCGCTAAGCAATATTTATACTAATTGCACCAAGTAACCAGCAGCACCGTCAACATCTTTCGGACCACCGCAGCGCCCAGGAACGCCGCGCAAGTAGAACGCAGCTCCGAAAAAAAACAAAACTCCGCGCGCGCGCGCGCCCAAACAAGTCACTATAGCTAACGATGACGGATTGGGCAACAAGCGATCCTAGCGCCGCGCCACCACCTAGCGAAGCCGAGTCCGAAACCACGCAACCAACCAAGCGTCCGACTGGTGCAAAGAAGCGCCGTAGCTACGAGACAAAAACGGTGAGGGAAGTCGCTCGGCGGCGCGCGTCAGATGATGCCCCGGTTTCTTGCGCAACTCCAAACCAAAACCAGCCCCCCCCCCCCCCCCCCCCCCCCCTTTTCCGATTTATTTTCGTTAGCTAGGGGGCGGCGGCAGCTCGAGGGAATTATGGGCTCCACTCTAACACGCGGCCATCCTTCCGAATTAGCGTTAAGAGCGCTAATTAAACAAATAAACAAACAATTAACCGAGCCAACAAGCAAAGCAAGGCGTGCCAGTGTGAGCAAGCGGGCCCACGGCCCCGTCAAGTTTTCTTTTGTTGTCTGCATAAACAAGTAATGAGGCGCGGCCTTTTCCCGATCGCACACGTATATATATATATACAATACATATATATATATATATATACACACATTTTCGGCATTATTTTTGCTTTTCTCTTCACGATGGTTCCGCCCCCATCCTCCTACGGTATTCCAATCAATCAAAAGACGCAGCAACTTTGGAAGTATTTTACAGAACTGAAGCATATACGACCAGACATAAAGAAATCCAACATTCCATCCACTGAGATCCCATAACGAGAGCAACAAGAGTCAAGTGAGTTTAAAATTAACTGCACACAATATGGACAAAAAAATCTTTGTTACCATTTTCGCCCAAGTTCACTTTTAAAGGCACCCCCAGGTTTCCTTCACGAAACTAACCAGGTTCGCGATGTCACTTAAGAAGTAATAGTTCTGTATGTTTTTAATCATTAATGGTATGAGATTATATATATATGTACAGGGTGTTTCACGAAAAGTGGACAAATTCGATATTGCAAAAACTACGCGTAGCAAAAAAAAAAAAAAAAAAAAAAGGCTTGTGTCGTTTTGGTCCCGGACCAGGGGCCTATTTAAGAAAATTATTAGTCCGGGATAATTAGACTGTTAATTATTTTTGCGTAATTAATTTTAATATTGAGTTTAAGGGCATGGTTTTAATTAGAAAACTGCTGACCATCATCGAAAAACACTAAATCAACAAATTGCAGAACGATAGGAGGCACGCGCAGCATTTTACGACTTTCTGAAAAACCACACAAATTCGACGGGTTTTTAAGTTTCGGTTTACAATCGGAGCGCATCTCTGCCCCGACGGTACCGCGCCCCTTGGAGAAATAGTGCAACCAACATCTGGTTCGCTATCCTCGTGCAACGCAGCAGAGGCTGGTTGCACTATTTCTCCTAACCTAAATGTGACGAATGTATGTATCTCTGTCAAGACCCTGCGCACATGCCGCATAGGCTGATGTGGGACATTTGTACACGAGATTTGCAACTAAATTAATTAACTGATTGAAAAAAAAATGCATGTATCTATGGGAGGCAAATTGACACTTTGCGCACATTTCAAAAAAATCTCCAGTACGTGCAAAAACAAAAACAAGAAAAAAAAAAACAAATCTGAAATTATATTCGGCATTGGGAAATAATATTCGCAAACAAAAAGAGAGATTCATCCTACCTTATCATTGAAACATCACAATTCTAAAGTGAATTCGGTCATTTCAATAGCGTATAAGAAAATATAATCGGAGTAACGTGAGATGGAACGTGTTATGAGTGCAATGTGGGCTTCTGTCCAAGTTGAATCATGTGACGGTAGAGTTAGACAGTTCTAAATTTAATGAACAAAAAGTAAGGGCGCAAACGAGCTGGTGTGCATTGCACATGGTTGAAAAGACTTTTTAGTGTTGTGTCGTTTACCCGCAGTCTCGGGGTTTTTCAACCATGTCTAAATTTAAAACTTATTTCAAATATGAAAAACAAAGAAAGAAAGAGGGGAAAAAATGGTTTTGATGTTTATTTTTGGAATATAAAATACAGTAAAAATAAAAAAACGAAAAAAAAATCTGCCAGCATCGTTCCATTTTTTTTTCTGGATTTTTTATTATTTTTATTTTCGAAGATAAAGGTGTGATGGTGATAAGTTGTGATCATAAATCCAATGCTTAAGATTGTATTTTTTGGTACTAAATTTTTATTCGGACAATTGGGTGGTAAATGAACTAACGTTGGGACGATATTCCGATTTTTCGCAAATGGGGAAAAAAGGCGACAAACTAGGACACAGACTGAGATAACATCTTTTAGTGTGTAAATTCAGTCAATGCAGCACACCTGCACAGAAAATTTAGAGGCAAGTGAAAACATAATTCTAATTCCTGTGTGAACGACGAATGGCTGAACAAATATACAGTCTTTACCGAAAGAAAAAAAAAAGTTTCTACTGTCAAGGGTTAACTTCCCAACAAATGCATTTTACTTTTTGTGACCACTGAAGATATTAAATTACTAAAATTTGGTAGCCTGTGGAAGTCAAAAGTCTTCGTAACAGAAAGATACCATCCCTTCCAGAAGTACAACAAAATGGCTGGCTCAAACCCTGCAATCTAAATTCAATCTTCAGTCAGCATGTGGGCCATTGCTCAATGAATGCAGATGGGGACTTAAGTAGCAATCTATGAGCCAACCAGGCCAAGAGATAAGAATGACACTTTATGACCGCTACTGTCGCTCAGGTGCTTGAGGGCTGATAAAGCAATCTAGGGAAGGCGAAACTGCTCTTGCACAAGCCTGCAGCTTATATTGCCTGCCTCGAGAAATCAACTATGGTTTTAGTTCACCACCTGAAATTGCAGCAAGCAACAATGACCACAGTAAAACATAAACCTGGAAATCACAAGAAAGTCAGAAGGGTGTTGTTCCTTGTGGCAATGAAAAGAAAACCGACGTGGAACGGTGTGGAAATTATAGTGATTATTTTGTTATAAAAAGAAAACAGAGGGACAACCATGTTAAATACTGAAGCTACAGAGACATCAGAAATTCATGCAAATATTGAAGTATGGCGGATTCAATGAGGCAATAAGGAAAGCAACAAATGGTGGCTTCCATGTAAGTGGTTGAGATTCATAGCTGTGGTGATGCTTAAGCTAAGAAACTCCAATCTGTAGGTTATCCATACAAAAAAAAAAAAAAAAAAAAAAAAAATTTAAATAAATGAAGAAGCTAAAGGAAACTTCTGAAACCAGTTTTCATCCAGACTCCAGTGGGTTGGGTAAATTTCGTTTGTGGGCTAAAACTCAGGCCGGAGGTTGACAACCCCTGCTCTAAGCTGGAAGGTGAAACAAACTCCCATTTTGCAGAATTCCTCCCAGCAATATTTACATTTTGAAGAGATTTCACATAGTCTCTATTAACAGTCGTTCAACAAACATCCAAATATATGTAATGCTTGGAATCATGACCTTTATTGTTAATCATGGAACAATGAATGAACCCTGTGTCATACGAATGTCTTCTGAGGCATTTCACTCCAAGCTTCTTTGATGGTACTCGTCCAGACATTATCGACCTACTGGCTAAAGGTCGACCTAATGAATTGTCCTCTGCAAGGCAGAAAACCAATTCCCAGGTTCCTTCTCTCCATTCCCTCTCACACTCTTCTCTTCTCTACTCCCAAGAGCAGATCTCTGAGCTGTTCCTTGCAGAGGGGGGAGGGTATCTGCCTTTCTTGAATAAAACCGAGGAATCGAGGGAGCTTCCTCCTTTCTGGCTGCTCATCGGCCTTTGACATAGATAGAGTAATTGTGTTGTGTGTACTATGCTTAGACAGAGGGGAAGTTAATTAGCCCCAATCGGCACCAGGTGTCTCTGCTGAAGAGGAGAAATTTCGTCAGTGTAGTACCACTGCCAGCCTGGGGTCTTTAACAAGCACCATGCAGTACTGTTGAGACCGGTTATAACGAAGTCAACAGGAATGAGAAATCACTTCGCCATATCCTCTATTTCGTTATAACCGACTTCATTATAACTGGTTTCGACAGTAGTGATACATGATTGCACGCCGGCACAACGCTTATCCAGACTGAAATGGGCTGGGGTAGGTACTGAACCCAGGATGCATGGTTTCTGCAGTGGAAGCTTTAACTTCCCATGCTCCAAACTGGGGTGCACCAACACACTCCGACGACGACAAGAGCAAAAACAGTCACCCGTGATCAAGGGGCCGAACTGGCCTTGAAACATCGGGCTCCGTTTCAATTTAGTTTTCCTTTCATTCATTGCCATTCCTAACCAGGTAAATGTCCACCAAAAGGTTTATGTTTAACATTCAGTCTCCCACTCCCCTTTAGCATAGATCTAATTCCCTACTATTGCACAGGGAAGTCACATCTACAATCACTCGCAGCAGTTGGGGATCGTGAATAAGGGGTGTCCATGAAAACTGTACCACTATAGTCAAACTTCCAGCACTTTGGGTACCTGTGACACAAAGAATCAGATTTATATTTCACTTTAGTTCAATGGTGCAAGGTTCCATAACACAACAAGAGCTTGAGGAAATGGAAGGAGAAGGAAGACATAAAAAGAAACACACACACACAACATCTAACAAAGCTGAGATATTGATGAAGCCCCAACCTCCTTTTATAGGTACAAGATCCTCACCCAGCGCCAGAAAGCCAATCATGAGGCTAGTCTTTCACTTTTACAATGAACGGATTGGTTGTCAATTAAAATGTTCGCTGTGTCAGGGACAGCATGTCCTTTTTTATGCATCTTCCTTCTACTTACTGTAGTGTCAGGTTCTGGTTATCTCTGTTATTGCTCAGCTCACCTTTCCACTCACTTCTCTTTCAGTTACTGTTATTGAGCAGATAAAAAAATTTACGATCAAATCTTTCATTTTGGGTAGAGGTCCGCAAAAATGGCCCCCACAGTTTAAAGCAGTTACAGGGTAAAACTTGATCCGAAACGGGTTTTGAAGTCGAAACAAGTTTCAGAATGTACCTGAACTGCGACTGAACCTTGAGGGTTTCGGTAGGTTTGGATACTTTTGGAGCATTGCAAAATTACAATAGTAAATGCATTTATTTTTTCTTTTTCGTTTTTTGCAATTGTAAGAGATAGAAACTGCAGGCAATAATAAAAAATTTAACATGAATATTATTTTCAATTTAAGAATATATTTTGTTCAGTTGCGTTCTGGCATTTTGGGAGCAATTAGCTTTTTAAAATTGGTATGTGTTGGGCCATGGCCAGCTGATGCAGTCAAAGTGGTTTCAAGTTTATACTCGATCACATGATCAAGCTGGTATATGATTACATCATGATGATCAGGTGTCTACATGCTGCCTGCCCGATTGAGTGTCTCTTGATCGGTAAGTGTGAACCTTAAGTTGATATCCAGTTGTACTGCGTTTTTGATCATTTGTATTAGATTGCAGTGTTTATGACGACCAGACAAAATTGGAGAACTGCAGGAAATGAAGTCAAGAAGCACCACTTCACATTGTAACCAGTGTGCTGGTCTGGGCTGCATTCTGGGATCGGTAATGTGTACGGTCAAAGTAAACAAATCTGCAGTGCAACAGGACATGCTTCACGCCACAACTCTTAGAGGTTATGTCTGGGCAGATACGGAAGTCTTCTCCACGGTCTTCTAACTACCTAACCGCAGTGCTTCGATGGTGGATAGGAGGTAGAAATCCGTACAAAAAGAATGAATAGATGCCATATTTTCCAGTTTGTAAGGCACTTTAGTACAAAAATGCCACTAGAAATGGTCGTTTATAAAAAAAAGTGGGTATGTAAGCCACACTTCTTTATATGGTAGGCTTGGCAAAACTGCAGCCACGGACGTATGGCGCCAAGCTTTGGACTGTCTCCGGACCACCGGAAGAGCAGGCCATCGGCGGGCACTCTGCTCTTTCTCCTTTGTCATAAACGTTGATATGGCCAACATCTTGCACAGTTACGGATCATACGTATTAAAAAAATGCATTTAAGTCATACCGTTGTGTAAGGAGCACCGAGAGAAATCGGGGGGAAAAAACCGTGACTTATACATCGAACAATACGATAGACATAATAAGTTTTAAAATTGCAGAAGTAGGAATTAGGAAGATGCTCGGGCTCATTGTGTTGATTGTAAACTTTAGTGAAAGGCTATGCAACCATATATGGTGCCCCGAAACCAGGAATCTGAATGTTTGTCAGCAATTGGTGGCACCGAAATTTCATGCGCATTTCTTTTGTAAATGCAACGATCAATACAATCTACCCCCGATTTCCCGAAAATTTATTGTACGCTCAAACTTTGCAATTCTATTGCCACTCAAGCAAGCCACACATACGTCGTGGCGAACGTCAGGGCAAAAGCTTCCTGAAACTACCGAAATTTCGTCATGAACGTGTAAGCGGTTAGGAAATTTCCGAAATTGAATCTTGTGGCATTTTTTTCCAGCCCCCTCCATCTCCATTGCAACAGCAAATGAAATTCATGGACGCTCGAAAGTGCAAAGTTTTCAAACCTACTGTAAGTTGACCGCCACACAAAAAGTGTTCAAACATCCTGAGAAATACAGGATCGAGTAGCACTATCATGACCACCGCTGACGCTTGATGTTAGCGGCGCATAGCTTGTAAAATATGGCACGTGTCGGCAGCGGGATTAAAGGGGTTATGACATGCCAAAAATTAAATGCGAGATAACAACACTGCGATGACCCATTGTATGTTCCTATAATCCTGCTAAACTTGTTTTGAAAATGGAGCAATAGTTTCGTAAATAAATCAATTTATATGTGGGTCCCCCGGAGAAGCGGATCCGGGCGGAGCTAGAGGCTGCCTATGTAGCCAGCTTACCGTGTGGCGTCCCCTTGCACACACTTATAGACTTCGCTCTCTTGGCGTTTTGAGCTTCAGCTGTCTCGTTTACCTTCCGTGTATCGAGCATGCAGTCCGTGACAATTACGTCTATGGCATCGCTCGCCTTGTCAAAGTGTTCGACATTGATCGCAGCAGCGATGAGAGTCACTGCTATCAAGAGTTGCTGGAAGCTGTTCATTTTGACTGTGACCCGCTGGTGACCAGCTCCAGCGACAGCGAGTTACAGACGAACTCGCCGTGGTCACCATCGTCCGGAACATCTCACAGGCGCACGCAGGGTGGTAGGTCAACGGGCCGAGGGCGAGAGCAAGAATAGCGTTCGGATTGCTGAGGTATGTGAGAGGTTTTGATCGTACTGAGGCGAGGAGAGCTTGGGCGATCATGGGGGCGCCTAGAATGAGAGAGCGTTCATGATCAGATAGTTTATGGACACCATGGTGTGACTAACTTGGGCAGTGCTGCCTGGTCACCAGACGAAAATGATATAAATTCGTAAATTGATTATTGCATTTACCAGGGCTCTAAAAATTGCGTAACTTGGTGTATATACTGAGTAGCCTATGAGCACTCCATTTAAAGAATAATCTATCCGTTAAAGGCGAGATGTAGGCTTGCAGCAAACGTGTCAATCAGTGTCATCATGGGAACAACACATGATTTATTCAGCTTAGAAAAGGAGACGCTCATCAGCCCCCAGGCCAAGGGTGGCAGTATTTCTGCAACAGCATAGTTTGTGAACTGTTTGCATGTTGCTGTGGTGAAAGTGTACAGTGATCAAGCAAATGGCACCATTGTGAAACAACGGCATGGCAACTGCAGAGCATCACATTCCATACATGTCTGGCGTGAATGCTGACCATGAAGGTGCACGCAGGCCTACCAACACGCTACAGTTAAGCAAATTGCCTTCCAAATGTACCGGGGGCTACGAGATGTGCGTCGAAAAGGACATTCCAGCGAACCTTGTTGCAAATGAGGCTCCGAAGCAAAGAATTAACCACTGCACTCATATCGACGAAGGTTTGTCAGTGTTAACGGCTTCAGTTTGCACAGCAGTATCAGAGTTGGACCTCTTCGCATTGGCAAAGGGCTGCCTTCACCAAGGAGTCACGTTTCCTGTTCCACCGAACGGATGGACGCTGGAGTGCAAGATGGAAGACGTTTGAAAACAAACACTCTGCAACCACTGTTCCACAAACAAAAGCCGGAGGCGGCAGCGTGATGGCCTGCTGCCGTAATCAGCAGGGATTCAGGCACCAGCGTCTTATTGACTCACCACCACGGAGTCTAGCAGCTGTCCGTGTTGCGCACGGGGGTTATCCTAAATATTAGCTGGTGATCATAATGATGTGACTCGAATGCGTAAAACATGCTTTACGACTCACCACATACTGTAACGTTTAGCAAGTCACATTGGCGACCTGCACTGTAATTTTTTTCTCCTGAAGTATACTTTCAGACGGTTTTAAAGAGAAAATGACGATATTGTGTTATAGTGATTCTGAGATCTTCTATACTGCCCCTTTTAGAGGGAAACTACAACGAAATTTCAATGCTTATTTCTTGGTGTATTCATTTTTAAGGGAGCATTATCACGTTAGACACGAAAAGGAATTTTAAAACGAATTAGACGATTAGCAAAGAGCACCTGGTGGATGTCGCTAACACTTTGTTTGTAATGCCAGAGTAGGAATCTTGACAGGCAGTGATGATAACTGTCTTGCCTCCAACCACGACGAGAAGAGCTGAAGGAGGATCCCCCCTCTCTTCAAGACTCTCTGTTGTGTGTCCCAGAAGTCGCTAATGTCCCTCTACAAGATTATAGAAGATTAATTTCGTCACTCAAAGTTTGTGCAAAGGCAGCTTTGGGTTTATTTGCAGTGGCCCGATCGATGGTGTGCTTCAGCTGCTTTCAGAGGATGCCACGAGCCATCGGGGCCTATCCAAGGCCGTGTGAATGTCACGTGACCTTGGTGAGGGGGCACAGCGACGTGCGGAAAGCGCATCACGAGATACGTCCACAGAGTGGGAATAGCCGGGATAGCTTGCAGCGTCTGCTGCGTCCAGACATAGGGTTGTGAGACAATCTACGTTCTGATCGTGGCAGATGTGACGTATCTCCGCTGGCTGCTCTCTGAGCGTTTGCCAGAGTGGGCCGTTTAAAACAAGAAATACAGCCATCAGGCTCAAAATACAAATATGCGATTGTCATTTACGGATATTGTGGATCCTAGTCAGCCTATTTGTGAACACGACAGGTATATTTCAAATTTCGTTGAAGTATCCCTTTAAGATGATTGGATCAAAACAACGTACCTGCAATGGAGAGGGAACGTCGAACAAGCTGAACCTAGAAAAAAAAAATCAAACAAAACATAAATTCCCAGACATAGCCATACCCCGTATTTCGGCAAATACTATGACCTGATATTGATGCAAATGTTAGAGCTGATACTAAAATTCAATTCAAAATCTCAAGATTGAGGGCACCGTCGAGTCACGCAAAGGCGAGCGGGACAACCATATCCAAAATCACTCTTAGAGATAAAGAATAATATGCTCAACTCAGATCGAAACCGTTCTGCCGTTAGAGCAGGGGTCCATATCACGAGAGCGAATGACATTTTAGCGAACGGCGACATTAGGGAGTTTTCGTAGATCGTTTTCGCCGTCCCGCAAGGCCCTCCGCAACCCGCTACGATAGCGGGAACTCCACAGTCAAGGCTATCGGCGCGCAGGCGCAGTAGCAACTTCTTCGTTGCGGAACGCTTAGCGGAGGGGGCAACGCGGTCTACGAAAACTCCCTATTTGAGCGAATGGTCGTTTTAGCGAATAACGGGGGCGCGCGTTAACCCATCCGTCGCGCTGCGCTTTACGCCGCTTCGCGGCGACAGTCTGCGGCAACTAATTACAAAAATACGAACTCACTTGGCCCACCCGAAAACGCCGCTTCGCGGCGTCCGACTATTCGCTAAAGTGTCGTTCGATGAAACGTGGGCGTTCGCTAAAACGTCATTCGATCAAGTGAGTGCCTCCCTTAGAGCAGATGTCTATCACCGGTGCCGATAACGCAAGTGCTTGATAGCAAAACGCATATCTAAACTTTTTAGGTGACACACTTTGACCCAGTTGGGACTGAAACCATCCAACCTGTTTAAGTTATTATAGCTTGAAGACGTAACATTCGTTTCAGTTTATTATGTCAGTCTTGGACATTAATTCGACATCGACTGAGTTGCGGTATGGAAAGTCGAGCAAGGACACACCTGCCGAGGTCTATTCGACTCTCCCGTGCCGAAAATGAAACACTCTGGAAAACACCTGAGGCACAAACGAAGCCCCTGCCACAACGTCTAATTTAAATCGCAGTATCGATTCATTATATCCAAATGGAAATCCAAAAACTCCCAAATACGGCCGCTGCGGTAAGGTTTGTAAGGTGCCGTCGCCGCTAAGGTCATCGCACAGCGCGGAGCATTTCCGGAACACGCAGAGGTTGTTTTGCAAGTGAGCCCCGTAGAAACGAAAGAATGCCAATGTGGGAATTTAACAGTGCTCGCAAATTCTCACCTTGAAGACCTCGTGGCATTCGTTGAGCAATTTTAGTCGATAAATTGCCCTGGGAGAGCCCCGACCCAGCAAGGCAAAGAACGCGGCCATGTTGGTAAAAGAGTTCACAATGCGCATGCGCGCGACATTTATATATGCGAAATAAGCGCGGAATATAATGCAATTTAAAAGTTAGCTTAATTACTACAGTTAAAAATGAAATATTTGTGTGTAAAATGTGCTCACTTAATCTTTCTTTTTGTTTCAAGCATGAGTTGTCGTCTGCTATAGGTAGAGTCCGTTTTGCTTTCGACACCGCCAAACGCCAAGCTTTCGGAACTGTGCGTTTAGAACAACAAAATGAGGTATACTACCCCAATTTTACTGCTTTTATGTGAATAACTGCTGCCTGGTGACCCGAAAAGCTCTATTTATCAAGCAAATCACATAATTTGTTCAATTGTAGCAGTTATCGGTATTTCGCAGTCTTCTTTGGCATCGGCCTTTCCTGCTTCGAAAAAAAAAAAAAAAAAGAAAAAAGAACAAGGTTTGGGCAGTAACATTTTAACCGACTTATGCACAACGTAAACGAAGCTGCAACTTTTACATGTCAATCAGTTAAGCAAAGAAAATATACATTTATAATCTTTGTTCAATTTAGAACTGGACTCTTCGATGACTTGAGTGTTGGAAACGCATTGAGAAAACTCTGAGAACTTTCACGACTGTTTTGTTTAAATAATAATACGCCTTCATATATTCAGAGTTCACAAGCAATAAACGAGATTTATGAAAGCGTATTTGTAAATAAAACAAAGTATTTTAACATATTTTTAAAATACGGCGCTGTGGTACCGGCTACTCCGGCTAGTTTTCATTCCGGTGTCCTGAGGCGCCAAAATCAAAAGGGGCTTTTGCGCTCGAACCCATGATGAATCAGTCGACGCACGCTCGACTGCTTCGAGCGTCGCCGTTTAATAAAAATCAACTACAAACATATGTTCCTAACCACAGTAAGTTTTTTTTTTTTTTTTTTTTTTAATTTAAAATATTATGGTTGGTTTGACGTAAGGTATCCTGACAGACTGAGGAATTCTGCAAGTGATTTTGATCAAGCCTCGCGGCGTGCGTGGGTTTTCGTTAGACACGCTACAAAGTTGCGGCCTGCTGAGGGGGCGCTAAAGTTTATTTTGGATTCACAGTTGAATCAATGTTTGTTGGTGGCATCGTCCCAAAGATTTTATACGCCTACATGTCCAAAGTCAACGTCGGGCGCGTTCGCTGACGCCCAAGCTAGCTACGCTATTTACTTATGGCGCCATCTTCCGATAGGCGAAGCGGGCAGGCAACAGAGTATGTCGTCTGCGTCGGCGTCGGTGACGCCGCTCTACCAACAGGGACTTTTTATTGACTTTAGCAAAGCTTTCGACTCTGTTAACCATGCAACGCTTCTTGATAAACTTTCCTGTTATGGTGTACGGGGCACGTCTTTGGCACTCATTCAGTCATATCTACAACATCGCAAACAGTGTGTCTCAATAAATGGCCATACCTCATTTTTGCAACTATTGAAGTCTGGTGTTCCACAGGGCAGCATACTTGGCCCACTTCTGTTCAATGTGTACATAAATGTCATCGTCAATATTTGTCAACACTCACGTTTTATAATGTATGCAGATGATTCTAGTATTTTTATTTCTGCGACGAATATCGATGAACTGATTATTAAAGGTAATGTTATCTTAGAAAAGTTTCTTTTATGGTCAGAAAAAATGGCCTCGAAATAAATACTACCAAAACAAAAGCGATTGTTTTCAGACCTGTAAATAAACACATTGATGCTAGTTATGCTCTTAAGTTAGGAAACAGGGAAATTGAAATAGTAAGTCATCATAAAACGCTAGGCATATTTTTTTCAGAGTTTATGCAATGGGATCAACATATAGGATTTCTAACTCACAAACTGGCAAAGGTAGCTGGCATCATCGGTCACTGTCGCTCTCTTTTGCCTACAAAAGTTAAGATTCAAATTTGTGTTTGAAGGAAACGCAAACAGTTTCTTTTTTTCTTTTTTTTTTAAAGGTTTAAACAGGAACGAGACATTGAGGCAATATGATATACACTCACTGACAAAAGTGGAAACGGCAGGGAGGTTTTCTTAGTCGTACCGAGAGCCACTAAATGAGCTGCGCTTAGAGTATCGTCACTGCATTCCCTGACAGTGCTGTGGGCGCCGCCATTTCGGCTCGTACGCAGAGCAGACGCAACTGCCGATCGTCGTGATTCAAAAGTGCGACTTCCTCAGCATTAGATTCAGTGTTAGGAAGGTCATGTAATATTGCTTTGCTCTGTCGCGAACTGTTTAAACATTTGTTGAAGGCGGAAAAGCGTTTCCTGTGATTTCAGATAAAGCTTCAGATAACTGACAACCATGTTTTTCAGACACAATATGGCCGAGTGTCGTTATTCTGAAGCGTAGCTTATTTAGTGGCACTAGTCGTACCACCTCGCGCAGCTGGAGTTTTCTACTTTGAATAACATTTCCGCGTCTCGAGAGCCTCGAGCGCTTCTAGCGCACGTGCAGGCAGAGCATGCACGACAAAGGCAACAATATACAAATCGGTCTATCGACAGACCAACTGGTCTATTGTTTGACAATTCCGCGAGTTAACACTGTGAACTGACAAACAACCAGATCCGCGTCAAGAGATACGTCGATCTGCTCATGCGCCCCGTCGATAACGGCGCCACCGCAGTTGCTTGACGTCAGAGTTGCGTGTTGGTCTATAGACCAGAGCCTCATTGGCTGCGGAGTGAAGATGCTAGAGACTCGCTACGTCATGCGTTTCTTAGGTTGTCGGTGACTTACATGGCAGGGGTCTCCAGACTGTTTGGCTAAGGAGCCGGATCGGAGATCTGTCGCTGTCTCGAGGGCCGTAAAATAAATAAGCAAAAATAAATCGAGAAACACTAAATTAATCATTCCAGAGAAGCAAATAAATGCGAAATTGAAAGTCCTAGTAAAAAATAAAAAAAATAATCTAAGGTGAATGAATAAATAAACTTTATTTTTGAAAACCAATATCTATACTCGTTTTAACCTAACAACCGCAGTAAAAAAAAAAAAAAAGTTAGATTTTACTTGGAGACTTACAAATTTACCCATTTATGTAGAGAGAGAGAGAAGGGTTTATTAAGGAAGGACAGAGAGGTTAACCTGAACGTAGGTTCTGGTTGGCTACTCTGTACTGGGGAGAAGGGGGAGGCGGAAGAAAAGGTATGACAATGAGGAAGAAAGATGAGGTGAAGTTGTCAATGAGGGTGAGCAATGGTACAATTGATTAAAATCTCACAGGCATTTTTAAGCACCCTACAAAGTGTCTGATAATTCTGTGTTCGTGAGGAACATTACCAAGGCCTTCGTGGCCTTCATGAATTGGTGAGTTGTGTCCCAGGCACCAAGCACTTTTGATGAGCAGAAAGGCCGCGAGTCCAACGCCATTAATGTCTGTTCCAGCACTTGTCGATCCTCGTTAAATTTATCACATTCACACAGGATGTGTTGAATTGTCCCTTCAACTTCGCAGCTTGGACAGTTCGCGGAATCTCTCCTTTGAATCCGATAAAGGAACTGCGGTGTATATGCCACACCAAGCCTCAGTCGGTGCAGGACCGCCTCTAGCTGTCTTGAAAGTCCAGATGGAACGCGGAATGCAAGTTGGGGATCAAGGGAGTATAGCCTGGGATGGTGGTAATGTGGATTCATCCAGTAGTTTTGTGAAATTTCTTTTGCCACGTCTTTAACCAGAATTTTCGTGTCCCATCTGGAGTAGGGTATGCAAGTTTTCTTGCCGTTACTGGTTGATTTTGCTGCACTATCTGCTGCCTCATTGCCGGCGACACCACAATGACCTGGTATCCACTGAAGAGTTATGTGATAACCCTGCAGGAGGGCCCGGTGGCAGGTGCAGAAGATTTGGTATGCCAGAAAGTCGTACGCATTATTTTTCATAGAAGACTGGATTATTTGTAGCGCTGGTCTTGAGTCACTGAAGATGGTCCAGTTTTGGGGTGCCTGACATAGGATGTACCTTACTGCCTCTCGTATGGCCGCTAGCTCAGATGCCGTTGATGTCGTTTTGTGTCCTATTTCAAAACTGGAGGAATTACTGTGGGCGGGTATTACAATCCCAGCTCCAGCTCGTTCTTCAGAAGAGGACCCGTCGGTGTATACATGTGTCGTCGAGCCATATGTTTCATTTATGACCCTTAATGCCAGTTGTTTAAGTACAGGCAGTGGAGTTGATGACTTCTTATGAATGCCTTTGATGTACGGCACTACTTCTGGAGTCAAGAATGTCCATGGCGGTATGCTCTTAATAGATGGTCGATTGAAATTATTTAGAGTAGCATCGTGCTTTCTTATCGTTCTGGAGAAGCTGGACTTTGGTCTGTTTGTTGGTAACGTTGCTAAGTGATGGCGAGAATGTTGTGTAAGGTGCCTCAAGTGCAACCGCAATGTCTCTTGTATCATGTATGCTTTAATTGGGAACCTGCGAGCCTCCGCAATGGTCCCGGGCGTCGAAGCAGAGCGGGGTAGCCCTAAACAGGCTCGTAGAGCTTGCGCCTGGATGCTTTGGAGGGCTCGTATATTGGTAATGCAGGTGTTGTTGATAACCGGTAAGGTGTAGCTCAGAAGTCCGAGGAAGAAGGCTTCGAAAAGTCGCTGTAGGCAACCAACAGTTGCGCCCCATGTTGTGCCACTGATGAATCGCATAAAATGCACTATGGATGTCAGCTTCATTTTAAGTCGGGATACATGAGGCGTCCACGTTAAGCCTCGATCCAAAGTTATTCCTAGAAACGTATGCTTCCGGACGTACGGAATTTTTTCTCCACAGATAGTAATAGGGTATCTGTCCATTAACTTGCGGGAGAACGTAATTGCAGCTGATTTGGAAGTTGATATTTGAAGTCCACGCTCGATGAGATACTTATGGGTAACTTTCAGAGCGCTTTGGAGTCTCGCCCGTATTTGAGGACGTGTGACACCGGTCGCCCAGATACAAATGTCATCAGCATAAATAGATGCATGTACCGTGGTTGGTAATTCGCGGATTAGATTTATCAAAACCATATTAAACAAAATTGGGCTTAATACCCCGCCTTGTGGTACGCCTTTTGTGAGGATGTGAGAACTTGTATTTCCGTCGTACGTTGACATATATATAGATCTTCCTGTGAGGTAGCTCTCTAACCAGGAGAACATGCGACCACCAATTCC